TGCCCACCTAGGGTGGGACAACCTTAATCCTAGCATCACACCCTTAATCCCAGGATCACACACCCTAGATCCAGCCACCTCTGAAAAGCCCCACCTAGGACCTCATGAGACTTTGGAGGACATCTAGATAGAAGCCATAACATCGCATATTAGGGAGAATATGTGATATTTGTCTTTCTCAGTCTGGTTTATTTCGTTCAGCATGGTCTCCAGATCCATTCATTTTTCCACAAATGACAGGATTTTGTTCTTCCTTCATGGCTGAATAATACCCCATTGTGTATCTATACCACATTTTCCTTATCTACTAACCACTGATGGACACCTAGGATGGCTCCATATCTTGGCTACTGTGAGCTGTGCTGCAGTAAACATGGATATACAAGCGTCCTTACAGTATGCTGACTTTGTGTTGGGAGTATACCAAAGAGTGGTACAGCTGATTCATATGGTAGCCCTGGTTTTAGTTTATTAAGGAGCCTCCATACTGATTTCCACAGTGGTTGACTAATTGACATTCCCACCAACAGTGCAGAAGGGTTCCCCACAACCTCACTAGCATTCATTGTTTTTTGTCTTCTCGATGACAGCCGTTCTGACTGGGGTGAGATGGGATTTCAATCTAGTTTTGAATAAAGCAGCACATTTTAAAAGCACAAATTGAAAACGGTTCTCAGGTGTTCCTTCCTTTAACACTGAGTTATTGAACATCTTCGATGAGGGTTGGCCCTGCAGAGTCTCTTTGATTTCACTGGGCCTTCAGTGAAGTCAGACAATTCTCTCATTCATCCCCAGCTGATTTCTTATTCCACCCACAGGGCCAGCTGCTCCAAACTTCAGATGTCTCCCGAAGTTCCCTAACCAATCCCGCACCTTTACTTTTCATGGAGGACCTCACTTCCGGCTACACTTGAAAACAGAAATTATATAATGTGGACAAACTACACACCAGTCTGTTCCACCTGGAGATTAAAATCTGAGAACGCACTGCTGGAGGATGATCTGATGATGATGCAAACACCCCACAAAGAAGCCTGTGGTGAAGTCAGCAGTGGATCTGACTCAGACCCCTCTCCTTCCGGGGCTGTGCTTGCTTTCCTCTCTGGTTGCCTTGCTTCGGAGTCACTGTGAGGCTACATAAGGCCACGCACGCATTCAGAATAATCTCTGCAAGATACTCTGCCTAAGTTCAAGCTCTTCCTTCTCACAACAATTTCCCTTAAGATTAGCGCTCAATCTATTCTCTTCTCTGTTGCCAGGGCTCAAGCAGCATGGCTTAAGTGCTGTCCTTGGATGCACACAGACCTCAGCATAATGGCCATGGCTAGAAAGCCAATATCCACACACACTGCATCCTGGGAGGCATCCCACACCCACTGCCTGAATTCTGAAGTGTCTTTGTACAGCAAGGCCATCAGGGGCCTTACAGAATCTTCGAATCACAAAGTGCCTTTCAGTTCTGAGTTGGCGTGATGGTAGACAGATGCTACAGATTCATCTCCTTAAATCAACGCACAATATATAATTAATAAAGTGTTCCCTTAGGAAGGGAGGATGCCCATCCCACACACTAAGGGGCCTCCTTCTCTTCCTATTCCCACGGCTTCTTCTCAGACTGGGATTTATAGGCATTATTTCATCCAAGGGCTCCTGTGGTGACAGGCAGGTAACCAGTTGGGCAGACTACTTTCCATTGTTCCATTTTTAAAGACAGAATGGTGGTGGTGGCTTGAAGGCACACAGCAAGTCAGGATGTCCTAGTCAACTGCTCTGTCTGTCCCAGAAGCAAGGCAGAGCATGCCCTTGACATTTTTGGTTGGTTGCAAAATGTTAAATACACACAGAGGAAGAGGTCCTTCCTGAACTGTGTGCTGAAATGTGAGCAATACCTCCGGGTTTCTGCTCACTTATTTCTCTCCCTTCTCGCTGCCTACTCAAGTTCTACCCACCTTCTTATGCTACTGAGGAGCACCTCCCACCCGAAGCCCTCCTGACATCAAGTCTTATCAGTCATTTCAGTACCTTTAGCAGGTATTGAAATTAACCAGAGTCCAACTCCCTTCAAAAAAGCAGAATCCAGGAAAGCTCTGGAGGTAGAAGGCTTCATAAGATCTGTGGGTTCACTGTGTACATGTGCCAAATTCTTAACAATTATGTAAGTAACACATCACCACAATACCGATATAAATAGAACAGTTCTTATTATGTGCTAAGCACTCTGATCAGCACTCTTACACATCCCTCCTAACAAGAGCATCCGAGATAGCCCGGTCCCTCCTCCACCACAGCTGGCCTCCCATTCTGTGCCTAGAAGGCGGCACCACGCACCACCCACTCCCACTACCAATGCAGGACCATCCTTTGGACCACAGAGGTGGCTCTGCTCCTCAAAATGTCAGACCAGGGCTGGGGATTTAGTTCAGTGGTTTCGCCACCTGCTGCGCAAGCACAAGGACCCGAGTTCGATCCCTGGTACCAAAAAAAAAAAAAAATGACAAGACCAAAGCCCTTTTACAAGGGCTCCAGTGACTGATGTCTGGTTTCATCCGTCGTCGTCGACTACAAGTGAATAATTAATACTTGCCAGTAAAGAAATAGACTCATTGTTATGGTGGCCACAAGGAGGCTACAAAAGGCCATTTTGTGAAGCTCTTGGTGGAACCCTGGGCCTAACAGTGCCCAAAAGAAACCTCAAACGTGAGGGCCAGGGCCCTGCACTGTTTCCCGGGAGTGCTGCTACCAATGCTAATTAGCTTGTTGCCTATTCATCACCTAATCTGGCTTTCTGGTCAATGACAGCAGCAGAGGCCCACTGAACGCCAAGCACCGGGAGGGCACAATTTATCAGAAGGGACATGGAACGTTCTCCTGGGGCCAGTACTTCCTCAATTCCTTCTCTAGGACAGCCTCTGATTGGGGTAACACTCTCCAACTTGACTAGACTGTATCCCTACTCTAGGCCTAATGCCTGAAGCAAGCTTTTCCTTTTCCATTTTCTGCCTCGGACAGAACAAGGCAGCCTTGGGTGCCTATAGAACTGGTGAGCACTAGTCGGGAAATATAATAAAGAAGCTTAGTGTGCAGACAGCGCTTGCCCCCAGGCTCAGCAGCGAAACTACCCAGAGGCAGAGGCACTGGCTTTGTAAGCAACGAGGCAATCAACAGTACACTCTTCTTGTGTCCTCATAACGGTCCGGGCAGATGACAGTGAGTGCCAACAAGGAGCTCTCCCTGTGAGTTTCACATCCCACAGGTGGACATTGTCAGTAGCTGTCCAGCGACTGTGATGCCTGACCCGTCACATACACCCACACTTCCAGATTCCTACCCTCGTGACCAAATGAAGCCGCTCTGGATGAATACAGGTCTGACAGCTACTAGATACTACTATCATTTTAGGACGCTGTTCCCCAAAAGAGCTATGCACCCCCGCTTCCAGCTGACATCTGAAATTCCACCACTAGAGATTACTAACTATCTTGACATGAAGCATTATTTCCCATCAAAATGTCTCCCATCCTGTTTCCTTTCTGGTCAAATGGCTTCTAAAGCACCTGTTCTGCATCCAATGGGAAATTCTTTTGTACTGTATTTAGATCTTCAAAATCAACACTCACTGGCTTCTGGAAAACAAGGTTTGATGCTGGAGAATGGGAAAGCACCAGGGACTCGGTGGAAGTGGAGGTGGGAGGCCTGAGGAAGGACCACGAGAAGGGACAGGCAGTGAGGAAAACGGTCCCCAAGGCCTCCACCGTCCTGACCTCAGCTACAGACCTAGATTTTTGCCCCCCACCCCCACCCCATCAGAAGGACCTTGCATGGGTTCTAACAGAGCCCATGGCCCAAAGTAAGGATGGAGACCCACGAGCCGGAGGTGAAAAGTGGGAGCCCTGGAACCCACTGTCCTGTTGACCCTCCTACCTGCAGCACTGCCCCTGTCCTGGTGGCCATGCCGGGAGGGCACTGGCACCCAGCAGCTGGCAGGGAAAGGTTGTTGCCCATGCCTGGCCTAGCCGGAGGGCCAACAGATGGCTCAGCAGCCATCGGTGGTTGTTTCTACTGCTCTGGGAAAGTGGACAAGGAAAGTTGAAAGTCAGATTCCCCAGACTGGGCAGGCACCTGGGCTGTCACTGTGTCCTTTCCAGCTGGGTTCTGTTTCAAGAATGCCATACTTCTGTGGGCCCATGCTACCTGCTGCAGCGCCCAGACAGTGGGCACCTGCTTCTCTACCCTGCACCGGGTTGAGCTGAACCTTTGAGAGGGTGGCAGGGCTGTCCGGAAAGTACAAGCCGCCACAGACGGCCGGGCAGCTTCCAGGGTCTACAGAACCCAAGAACCCCCGCCCCAGTCGGCTCACAGGTGCCCTCCCCCTTCTCCCTGACCCCTCCCAGCCTGGAGAGGATGCAGCAGCCTAGGCCAGAACTCTTCAAGGCAGGTCGAACGTGCCCCCTGCTCCTCAAATCCTCCAACCCCGGAACTTCTCTGCGGCCCCTCGCCCCACCCATCTCACGGTCACCGCGGGGCGCTGCGTGCCCGAGGCGGCTGCCGGGCGGGCCCTGGCGGCTCCTGCCGGCCGCAAGGAGCTGACGGCGGCCGCGGCGTTAGCGGCAGGCGCTGTGCCGTACCTGGGCGCGGGGAGGGGGCCGCCGCCGGGCTGGCGGCCGCGGCAGGTGTCTGCGGCCCGGGAGATCAGCACCGCCTCCTCGCTGGCCGGCGGCTCCGGCGCAGGCCACGCACCTGCTGCCAATGGGCCCGCGCCTCGCGCACGGGGTCCGCGCCGCGGGGCCCACGGTGGGGCCGGGAGAGAAGGGGTCGCCCGGGGTCGTCCAGGGCCGCCGCGGGGCCTCCGGGGACCCCAGGCCGCGCTCCCCCAGGAGCGGCGCCGAGCGTCCCCCGCGGGCTGGGAAGGGACGCCGGCCCTCGCGCATCCTCACAGCCGCGTCCCGGGCTCCGGCAGCATCTCGGGCCCTGCGTGGGCGCCGAGGCCGCGCGCCGCTTACCTGGGTCTGCAGCAGGGCCACGGGAGGGGCCGAGGCTACCGCAGGGCCCCGCGCCGAGGCGCAGGATGCTGTGCGCGCGGCACTGCGCTCGACTCCTCTGCCGCGCTCGGCCCCACCCCCGCCCCGCCCTGCGCTCCGGCCCCGCCCCCGCCCCGCCCCTCCGCGGCCGGGCCAAGGTCTCACAAAGAGCCGGAAGTGGCAGGCTCTGAGCCTCGGGGCTCTGCGACCTGCACCCCGGGTCCCCAGCCCCAGAACCGCCAGTCGCCCCGCTCTAGGATGGAGCAGGAAGACTGCCTCCCTCCCTGCCATCAACCCGGAACCACACCTGCAGCCTAGGCAGGGCGGAAGCCTAGGCCCCATTGGGATCCCATTGGTCTCATTATTTCCCAGCGCTCATCCATCTAGTACCTAATCTGCAGTGGTCACCAATTCTGTGCCGAGCACCTATTCTGGCGCTGGGTGTGCACTGGTGCACAGAAGACAGGGGTCCCTGCCCTCTTGAAGTTTATCGTCTACCAGTGTCAGTTAACCTAGCAAGCGTCCAGTTAGCTCTAGGAGACGAGTTGTCCAGGGGCAGAGCAGGGTGAAGTCACAGAAGATACAGCTGGGCCAGGGTTAGGATCGACCACTAATTGACCTTGCTCCTTAGGGCTGCTCCTTGGCTCAGAAGGACGCTCTCAGCCAGGCAAGGTGGTGCCTGAATTCCCGGTCATCCCAGCATGAAAGGAGGCTGGGACTGGAGGATGCAAGTTGGAGCTCAGCCTGGGCAACTAGAGAGACTCTGTCTTCGAATAAAATAAAGGTCTACTAGTGTAGTTCAGTGGTAGAGCGGCCGTGGACTTGATCTCCAGTATTTCAGGGGGGAACCACACCTCTCCCACTTCCTTTCTGTTCCTTGGAGCAGAATCCTGAAGCTTCCATCTTTTTAACAGATGCCAGCCTCAACTTCAAGAAGAATTGCCTTGGAGCAGAAAAGAGACCGGAAGCACTTCTGTGCAACCCTGGGCGAAGCTAGGGTCCAGAAGGAACTAAGATGGCAGGCTCCTTTCTTTTCAGGGCGCATGTGCCATTTAGAGCTCCTCCAAGAAGCTATGCTTATTGAGATGCAGCTGAGGGAGCCTTCGGACCCGGGAAGTCTTAACCTTGAGACACCTAAGCAAGGTGTTTATTTCACCACTCTGCTCTTGAGATGCTGCCATACTGCAACATAAAGAATAACAGTTACCTCTGTACCTCAGTAATTTGAGGGTAACTAATTTGAAAGCATTTGAGACATTGTAATTATATATATATATATATATATAGAGAGAGAGAGAGAGAGAGAGAGAGAGAGAGAGAGAGAGAGAGAGAGAACTGTTATAAATATAAGGTAACATCTTGTTACCGGGGAGCCTTTCTGAAATGTTGGCTAGAGCTCACAGATTTACACGTGATCACCCAGCTGGCTGTTCCTATAAAATGCAGGTTATACAGGAGCCCCTTTCTTTCAAGTCTCAGACAGACTTGTGAAGTCTTTGCCTTCTCTGACCTCACATCATTTCACAAGTGCTCAGAATTCATGGTTCTTTGTAGTTTGATGTTACATCACTCATCTAATTTCAATTGCTATTTCAGAAAGGATGACTTACATATATATAGACACACACATATTTCTTTCCCTAATGCCATGTGAGAAAGCTGTGGGGGTGTTTGTGGAGGATGACTTAAAAAAAAAACAGTTCATATTTCTTTTTCTTTTTTATTACGTTTCCATTTTCCATTGGGTTCCTTGAGATTTCAAGTTGAGTGAAACAGTAGGAGTCCCAATAAATCTGATTTTTATTCTAAAGGGTATATTATTTGGGATGTTTCAATTATCTGGAAGCCATATTTCTTCCTACTGTTCCCTCTTTTTTCTTTTCACCTTTCAGGAAGAAGTTGCTTGAAAAGATCACAAGAAAAGACGTATGTATTTGGTTAGATCTAGGCAAAAATTATTTCCCTAGTCCCTGAATTCCAGCTGCTTATAAGGGAGAAATAATAGTCTTTTGAAGCAACTGTGTTGGAAATCCAGAGGCTTGCCTTTTGGTCCTAGTTTTGCAACCAACAGAAGAATAAGCTTAGGCAAGTAGCCTCATCCCTGTATTTCCCCATCTAAAAGATTAACTAGGTTAGACACAGTCCAGTAGCCCTCTGAATGTGGAAAACTGCATGAGTTCAAACAAAAGGGCCTGCTCCTCCAGGCTGTCATCCATGCGCCCCCCACCCCCACCCCAACCCTCAGAATGATGCCCAGACTCACTATCATGGCCCGCCAGGTTGCTCTTAATGATTATTACTGTTTGTGTCTAGATGTTCTCCCAAAGCCTCATGTGGTCACAGGTGGGCTTTTCAAGTCTCAGAAGGACTTGTGAAGTCTTTGCCTTCTCTGTTCTCACATCATTTCACAAGTACTCAGAATTCATGATTCTTTGTACTTTGATATTATATCACTCATCTAATTTTTCAGAAATTTCAGAAATGATGGCTTTTCAGAGGTGGCTACATCTAGAGAGTGTGCAGCTGGGATTAAGTGTGTGATGCTGGATTCAAGGGTGTGTGACTGCTAAATTAGTTGAGAGGGTTGACATAGTTCTAAGTGTGGATAATGGCAAGGCCCACCCTGGGTGTAAGTGCTATCCACCCTAAAGGCATGTAGCCTGAATACACTATAGGACCGGGAAGAAGGCTGCTGTTAATGTTTGCTGCTGCTTCTGCTGCTGCTTCATTGCTTTGCTGCCTTCTTTCTGCCTCCCAAGAACTCTTTCTCCTCTGCAATGCCCCTCTGCTATGCCACCCTCCCGTGGAGCCAGCCACTATGAACTGAAACCTCTACAAACTGTGAGCCAAATAAACCTTTCCTCCTTTAACTTTGGGTGTCAGGTATTCTGTCTCAGCAATGAGAAAAGTAATTAAGACAATGATCTAGCATCTAATTCTTGGGTCTCCTCCCATGTGAACACACTTGCCATGCTTCAGCTAAAAGGAACCTCTTTAGTTCCCCAAACTTGCTGTGCTCTTTTTCATGTTTGACCTTTGCACAAGCCAAAGCTTCTTGCTTGGAATGTTTTGTTCTTCCTTTCCCTTCCCTTCCACACTTTCTCCCAACTTACCTGCCTAACTTCTGTTCACCCTTCTGGTATCCCCTTAGCTATTACTCGCTCCATGATCACCCCTCGTGTGGGTTGGATTAGGATTCCCTGTCTATGATCATATGACTCCTTGGGCTTCCTCCATCATACTGCTAATTGTGTGGTGTTATAATGTTTAACACAATGCCTGCATCACACCATTTGACCATAACATCTGAGAGAGCAGGGATATGTTTGTCTTGTCCCTGTTGAATCTCCAGAGCCTGGCAATGGAGCCAGAAACATAACCTTTCAACAAATGGATCAAATGAACAACTAACTGAAGGTTAAATCTTTACAGGTTGTCATTAAAAATTGTAGCTGCCTATCTACTGCCTTCAGATTACCTTCTGCTTCCAGATTCCAGGAATTAGCAGTGACAGGATCGCAGCTATTGTGAGAGAACTGTTTTGCCACTTGCAAAACTGTGGGTCATGCACTGTGGTTCCATGGAAGGCAATGGTGATTATTTTTTAAAAAGTGTCACAATCTCCATTTAAAAACCATTGGCAGATCCTGCTTCATGGAAACCAGTAGTGGAATATCTGGAATGGGCCTAAGAATTAATTGAAGAGAGAAGACATAGAAAATAAAAATGACTAACATTTGCCACATACATTACCACAAATATTCTATGAGGAAAATATAATCCTTTGTCACACTGTATAACTGAGGAAACTAAAGCAAATAAGAAACTTGCCCAAGTTACTGAAACCAAACCCATGCTGTTTACCACAATTATCTCATTTTCCTTCTGCCAAACTAAATTCATTTGTTTATTAATATGCTACCTTATTCAAAAGATATGCTTAACATATATTGCAGGGCTACATAGATTAAAAATAAAAATCAGCAGGGCCAGGGATGGAGCTCAGTGGCACCATGCCTGCCTTGCAAGTGCAAGGTCCTGAGTTCAATCCCCAGTACCAAGAAATAAAAAATAAAAATAAAAACCAGCAAGAAAAAAATTTCAAGTACAGTAAGTCCTTGATCTATGAACATTTGAGTTGTGAACTTTCACAGATATGAACGGACCTTGCATTACAAACATTTGTAGACGTGAACAAAGCACAGAAGTTGCTCAAGCGTCTACCAGACATTGTCACAGCTGTGCTGCTGTGTGCTTAGTGTACAGTGCAATAGTCCACAGTAGTACAGTGCTCAGTCAGAACCAGGATGTCCAGAGGCAAGAGGAAAAGCAGTGGTGATGTGGAGGGGACTGCTAGGAAATGCAGACCGACACACATTGTATATTGGTGTCAAAGGTGTGGAAGATTGACTCTGTTGGACTTACAAGTAAATCGACTTAAGAATGTTCCTCTGGAACAGACCTCATTCAAAACGGAGACTTACTTAATAAGGAAAGGGCTATAAATAGGAAATTGAGGGAAAAGTGTGGATAAGACATAAACCAAAAACACCCAAGACAATCAAAAATCCTGCTATAAGGTTGCTACACTAGCCCCACATATTTGGTTGTAAGCATTTACATGGTTGGCAAGAAAAGAGAAACTTGATGGTCAAGTTTCACAATTTAGATTAGCCATTAGATAATATCTACCCACTTGCTCCAAATTGCTTCATTTTATAGATATAAGAATCCAGGCCCAGAAAGGGGAAGGGTTACTAAAGGATGGCTGGTCCCAGACACCAAGCCTTTCCCAAGGACAGTACACTGCTTAACTCTTCCCGTGAATCTGGAATGACTTGCTCAACCATACGTCCTTGACCTGATACTTATTGAATGTTTATCTGTAGCCAGCTTCTATGCTAAGTAGTGCATTTGACTGGGCTTATTTTGTGGTCAAAAGATTCTGAGCAGTAGCTCTGTTGTTGTTGTTGTTGTTGTTTCAGATGGAAACTTTAAGAACTATTTTGCGGTTGACACATTACAGGCTCCATCCTGGGCCCCATGCAAATGCATGCCTTCCATTCTCCAAAATATTTCTCTCACTGTGTTCATTTTCCACAACTTTGGAAGACCTACCCTCCCTTGAAGGTCAGATCTTTTACACATAACTTAATGGCAAATAACATTTCGTCCTTATTTCAACAAAAACTTTTTACGTAATTTCAGATAAAAACTGATAAAGAGGCCTAAGCATATTCCCAATTGGATTTAGAATTCAACAATACAACTGAGGTATAATCCCAGGTGCTACTGTGTTCTCAGAGTCTAGCATAAAGTGGATCTAAAATCAGTCCCACAGAATGGTTGTGCGTGCTGGAATTTGGGGACAGACAGGTTTGACTCCACGCCCCCATTCTGCCACTTACTAATCATAGGACCATGAAAGATCTCCCTATTTTACTGAGATGACAATAATTTTACCTATCCCTGAGGTTCTTGTGAAGAATAAATGAAACAGCAAGAGTAAAATACTAACCAGAATCTGGGACCTAATAAGTGCTCACAAATGGGAGCTATCATCATTATCATTATCAGTATTACTATTAAAAATGATTTGAATTTTGGTGTGATTCCTAGGAAAATGCAGGACTTGGTGTAAGCTTTGAGTTCCAGTCTCGCATGGGCTAAGTAGCTATACCGCCCCACGTAAGTCACTTAACCTTCTCTGTGTACCACTTCCCTCCTCTGTTAGGTGCAACCCCACTCCCAATGTCATCCCCAAATTGCTGTAAAGATCAAACACAGTCTTAGATGGGAGAGTGTTTTAAGAAGCACAAAACAGAAAAGCAAAGGAAAGTTTATGTTGTCTCAGGTTCTGGACATTTCTACCCAAAATCAGTCTTTGAAAAAATGCAAAGAGATTGGAAATGGCAGCTTGACCTGGTGCAGGGGAGGGTTGGGATAGGGCTCTGACCTAGAGGGCCATGGACACTCTCCTAGCTCCTTCCACAGATTCTCCTGTGATGGTGGCCAGTATCTGTTGGCTTGGACCTCAAGGCCTTGGGTCCTAACATAAACACAATAAAGAGAGAGAAGGTGGAATAAGGTGTGCTTTAAGCATGCTGGTTTCTCTGCTGGAAATGTCTGTCCAATCCCTCTCCCAAGGGAGGATGTTTCTACTTGGGAACCTCCAGTTGCCTTTCACATGTCCTTGGGGAAGACCTCCCTGGTTTCTCGGTGTTTTTACTTGGTTCTCTGTGCTCTCACTTTACTAGGACCACTTCTCCATGAGATAACCTCCAACAACCCTTTGCAATTTTAGTTCATTCCTGTTATTCAGAAGTTATGTCTATAAAGTTACCATGAACAATGAACTAGCAAACACTGGCATTGCTCCTCAGGAACACATACATGTAAGTTTCCTGAACTTATGGTCACAACATTTTGTCAACCAATCAATAAGTAATCTTGCTTTATGCATATTTCTGTTAAAAAATAACCTTCCCTAATATATATTGTTGATTCATTAACATTGTACATGGTCAACAGAACTATAAATCATGCTTGAACAATGTGTATCCAATAGTTGTTTTTTTTTTATGTTAAGACATCATAATGTGTTCGCATTTAGGGACAATAAACAGTACTTTACCACTACATTTTGGGCCATCTTAAACACTAAAATCATTCCTTAAAAAACACAAAAATGTGACACTAAATAGTCTATGAAAAGACCACTTGTTTACAGCATAAGACAGGAAAGTAAAACATTGCTGTATTTGACTTCAGCTGGGAATGTGCATTAGAACAATCCAAAATTTCACTGTTCTACATGTGGGCACATCCAGAATGACTGCAGGAGAACCAAACCAAAACAAAACCCAAGTATTGATTTCTGGCCTAAAATAAATTCTTGCAAATAAGCAAATTTGCAAATTTGAGTTCCCAAATAATGAGCACCAACCATATTTCGTACCTGTCGGAATATTTTCCTAGCCTGCAAGCTTCTTAGAGGAAAGGCCAGTGTCCACAGCAGCCTTTCGCCTTGCCCTCTTGCCCTGAGACTGACCTCTCTGGACAGCTCTGCTCCTTCTCCTGGGTCCTCTGGCTCGGGATTGGGTAGGACCGACTGGAAGTTGTAACAGTTGGCGGGGGAGGGGAGGAGAGTGAAGCCAGTTCCGCCCTGCAACATTCGTTGCCTTGAGCTTCCTCTGTCCATTACTAAAGTTTTTTTCCTTTCAAGGCAATACTCTGCAGCTGACTCCTTCCACATTCAAACGATCACTTTCCTTCCTCGTTCCTTAGGGCCTATGGATGATAATTCTTCACTTCAGTCTGGACTGCTCTAACAAAATACCTTGGCCTGATAGCTCAAGAACAACGCAAAGTTACTTCTCCTAGCTGTAGAGATTGGGAAGTCTGTGAGCAAATTTGCAGAGCATCGAGTGTCCCATGAGGGTTTACTCACTGCTCCGTAGATGGTGCCATGTTGCTGTGTCCTCACATAGTGAAGAGTGGAAGGACAAGAAGGGAGTCCTTCCTGTCCTTTTATAAGACATTAATCTCATTCATGAGGCTGGGGTCCTCATGTCCTAACTGTTTCCCAAATGTCCCACTTCTTAATACTACTAACTTTGGATTATGTTCCAACACGAATTGTGGAGAGACACAAATTGTTGAACCATAGCACCACTCCCCAGCTGTTATTTTCCTCTCTGCCTCTTCATCAGGTGCTCCTAAACCTGAGCCACATGTTTTCAAAAGCTCTGTTGGAAATATGCTCTTTTTGAATTATTCTAATTTGGGATGTGTTTGTTACCTAACAGATGCCTTACTCACCTTTCTAAACCCTTCACTTAACACAGAACCATAGTAGGTGAATAGTAAGTATTTATGAAACAAATAAGTGATTTCTAAAACTCTCAATAGTATCTGTGTTTCTGTTATCTTACAAGCCAACGCTACATTACACCTTGGAGAGAATCTCAAAGTCATGATAGATATGCACACACACACACACACACACACACACACACACACAGTGCAAGAGATGTGGGCTATGGGGAACCCAATTTCTAGCAATTCCCTTAAACCTGTAAATTAATATGTACTCTCACATTAAAACATATGTTTATTGTGCTAATACAGCTTCTACCTTTAATCCTCTCTGATGATGTCACCTTCTCAAATCCCTCTAATTAAGGAATTCGTAGCTCTTTTTACAATCCTGTCTCTCTCTCTCTCTCTGTCTCACACACACACACACACACACACACACACACACACACGCACACTCCCCACTCAGCTGAATGAGGTATATTGTTTCTTTCTCAGAATGGTGGGCTTGCATGTTGGGAGATCCAGGGAGAATGGGGTCAGCAGGGACACACAGATGAGTTCCCTCAACCTCCCTCCAATTATTGTCAGTGGGAGTCAAGCCTGAGGAGGGTCCTTGGAATAATTGGAGAGGTCACACTTTCTTCCCCATACCCTGTGGCCTGTGGTGGATGAACTGATTGACACAGTGGACACCAGCATTTGGTAAACACAGCACTCAGCATATCCAAACTGCAACAGCCCGGCTCTTATTCCACTGGAATTTCAAGAGAAGGGGAACAGCTATTTATTGATGTCCAGCAGTGACTGAAGAAACTCTGAATTACAAATTTCCATGTCACCCACACAGCAGATGACAGTGAATGAGTATGAACAATAGATAATCGGGTACTGTGAACGAGAAAAATAATCACCTCCAAATTGAGTTCTCTTCCCCCAGCTTTGCCTTTCTCAAATCTACTCACCAAACCAATCTACTACCAAAGCTGGTAGAATGTATTTTTAAGTGTAGTTTTGATCTTCTTTTCCTATTCAATGACATTTCTACCTACAAGGTAAAAGTTTACCTTTCTGGGACTTTAAAATATGCCTAGATTTATAGCCTCAATTTCAACTTACCTACCCCTTGTCATCCTCACCCTTGTAGAATACACAGAGACACATCATGTTCCAACAACACTAAACTAGCAGCTTTCCAAAATATTCTGTTCCCTCTACCTGGAAAGTATTTCTTGCTTGACAGAAAGACATTTTCTCTCCAAAACTGAGTTAGAGATATCCTTTATGACTGTACTGCTCAAACTTAAATGTGCATATGATTACCTCGATGGTGTTAATATTCCCTGATGCTGTCCTCCCCTGGTAGATTCCACTTCTTTTTCTCCAGGCTCACAACTTCTTTGACCCTATTTCCATTGCTCCTGTAACTGCTGCATTATAATTTTACTTATTTATAGGTCAGCTTTCTCAATCAGACTGAGTTTTGTCTTTTTCCTCTGTATTTTATCACTGTGCTGGATGCATGCACATATGGAACGTTTGACACTTATGTGTTGAATGAATGTTGTTGGATAGATAGTCCTCACCTATTTGTGGAAGATGAAACCAAGTGGCCACTTTGACTTAAGAAAAGTTTTGGGAGTTAGCCATTTGGGAAATGTGGAACCCAAGCCATACATACTAAATTTGTTAAAACATGTAGGGCTTTATTTGCCATATGCAATTTTTGACTTCCCAAACTCTACAAAGGATAAAAGATACTTGTAACCTTTTTATTTTGAACAGTAGCAGTGATTGTATACTAATAAATAGTCATCTGACCGAAGTATAAATACATAGTCACAAAAGGTACAAAACACAAGATCTACAAAATGCAACTACAACCAAAACTTTGCATAGAGGAATTCTCTTTGAAAAGGGCACCATTTTCAAAATGTGAGAGGGAAAAACATCAGGCAGGAAGCCCATTTTGTGACACCAAACACTGGGCATGAGCAATTAACACATGTTCGGTTAAAGGCCCGTGAATCTGAACTTTAAAAAGATAGTATCATACTGGGGAAATTTTTCTAAACCAAACCACAGAGATCAGTCAACTGTGATGTTTTTCTTCTAGGCTGAAATCATCTCCAGTGAAGGGTTCCAAAAGAGAATGCACAAAATGAGGAAAAGTAAACAAGGATGATTGTGGATAAGTTGAGTAAAAGCATCTTCAGGATGATGTTTTATGTAAGGCTCTCTGTTTCACAATAATTACAGTTACATGTTATACTTCTATATTGCAAGCTGGTCAAAATATCACAGGATTTAGAAATAGCTCATTGCAACACTATCTGATAATTTCTCTAAGAGCTTTATCTGAACACTAAAGGAAAATCAAGTCCCCTCCCCATGAAGTATGAAAGAAGACAACACTCAGAGTTAGAATGATAATTAGAGCATGCATGTATACTTCTGCAGCAGAATCTTTTAAAGCTGCTTTAAAGCTCATCTATAAATGGCTTTATTCAAACTGACTGGTGAGTTGGGAGAATTAAAGTTAATTAACTGAATAGCTCCAAAGTCATTAATTATGATAAGGTGAGGATGAAGATGAAGAAAGTGGAGGTCCTATTCTGTTCACCTTCATGGTCTATGCAGAAGTGACATTACTCACTGATGATGTTATATTGATTTGTCTTTTTTTTTTATTTTCCTGTACCGGGGATCAAATTCAAAATCTTTCACTTGCCAGGCAGGCGCAGCGCCACTGAGCTAAATCCCCAGCCCAAATATTGATTTGTCTTGGCTGTCAATGTCTTTCCCCTCGGTATGGATCTCCTTTGCAATTCTCTTCTTTCTCAGTAGGAGGCAGTGTTTAATAAGAATTTAAAAATCTGCACTCCAGAAAGAAAGATTTGGACCAGAATCCCAGCTCTGTATGCCCCAGTTCTGTCACTTTGGGCAGATGTCCTGGCTTGTTAAGGGCTCAGTCTCATAATCTGCAAAATGAGAATAATACTACTCTCTCAAGGGGTTGCTATGAAAACGCAGTGAATTGATATTCTTGAGGAATGGCTTGTGCTTAGCATATATTCACTTTGCTTCTGCAAGTGCTCAACAGCAGACGTCCTTGTACATCTTGCAAGTAGCCCGGTAAGTCCTTGACTCAGTTTCCATCCAGACAGTCTAAGCAAGGACAAACTCCTTATTCTTCTCCTGGAAATTTGGGAGCCTTGAAGTCTCAATCTTAAAGTTGCTAACCCTGAGGGACTAAATAACCTTCAATTTCTCTGCCAGGCCAAGATGACTAGCACAATGCTGCCCTCTGTTGATATTGATGGGATAGTGCAGACAAGGGGCTGATTTGCCAAAGGCTTGAAAGATGAGTGTTCAAAGTAGCTATTTCCTGCACATTCTGCATAGATGAGGAGGCACAGTCACTTGTGTGGTGTGGTATAAAATGGGAGCTTTGGAGTAGTAAGAATTTAAAACCAGTCTTGGTACTTGTTGGTTTCCCACTCTTGGAAGCCTTCCCATTCTTGTCTGGACATCAACTACCTAATGAATGATCCAACTAAGGCATGCTAATGGCTCACCCCAGTCCATCCAAAGGAACTAGCATGCTCCATTATGGAGAGAGACGGCAATGGGCTCTGAGAAACCTCAGAAATCTGCTTCTCAGGATATCCGGCCTTTGGTGTGAGAAGCTGCTTTAGTTCATTAGTGGCAGGAAGCTGTGGCTGACAAAGTTACAGCTATAGAACATTCTTCCTGGCCTTAATCAACTCACTGGTTTTCTTAGAAAAAGGGCCGTGCTTCTCATTCTCCTGGCCCTCATATACTGGGATATTACAGGTCAAATAAAAAGTCTCTTGCGCCATAAACTTGAGATCCATGCTTAAAACAATAATAAAAAAAAGAACCCCAGGTCCTTCGTCTGTCTCTCTCTTTTGCTGAGGGCAGGAAATGTTTCCTGAAAGCTGTCAGATGGAAGTTTGTGCACTCTGTATGACAAGAGGATGGAGGGGCACAGAGGCATCACTGCTGTGCTGACCTGGCCCTCAGCCCATTGCTGAGATGCCTGCCTGTGGCTGGGTTGCTGGCCATTTGTCAGGATGCTGTATTCAAGCCAGCTCAGGAGCAGGTGCCACAGGCCAGGCTGCCTCTGGGGAGTTCTGGGCTGGTGGCAGCTTTTAATGCTCTATGGAAGGAGGACATTCTTCCTCCTTTTAGGATGCACAGTCCATGGCATGGCCGTGAGTCTCTACTAAAGTCCTGATTCTGCAATTTCAGCCAGTTGTCCAAATAGTCTGGAGAAGGGTGGCCGGTCTTCTGGTCTCTGGAGATGAAGAAAGAGAACTCTGTGAGTTCCTTGTACTTATCTATTATAGCTAAATCCAAAGCAAACCCAAATTCCATAGCAGTGTCTTCTGTTAATTATAAAATATGCTTTCATAGAGACTATATTGGAGGCATTATGCCCTCTGCAATCAAATGGCATGGTTTTAAATCTCAACTTTACTTCTCATTAGCTGTACAACAGGTTACTCAACCTATTTGGGCTTGCATTTGTCATCTGTAAAAAGGAGATGCAAAAACAAAGCCTACCTCATAAAAAATTGTTTTGAGAATAATCATGTGTAATAATGCATCATAAAATTAGTACTAGATAACACCCAAAAAGAAAAGTCAAATACATATGTGTAAGCCCACAAAATATACCAAGATCTTTATGAAGAAAAATATAAAGTTCTAGTGAAAGAAATCAAAGAAGATGGAAATAAACATAAAGATATCTCATGTTGGCCGGGGATTTAGCTCAGTGGTGCTACCACTTGCCTCATAAGCGGCAAGGTCCCAAGTTCAATCCCCAGTACCAAAAAAAAAAAGGCTATCTCATGTTCATGGATAGGAAGACCACAGTGTTAAGATGACAATTCTTCAAAACTTGATCTATAGATTCAACACAATTCTAATCAAAATCCCAGCAGGTTATTTTGTAGATATTGACAAACTGATTCTAAAGTGTGCATGGGGAGGCAAAAGACTCAGAGAGCCAATATGGTAATGACAAAAAAAAGTGTTGGAGGACTGACGCTATCAGATTTCAGGACTTACTATAAAGCTACAGTGATCATATCAGTGTGGTGTTGGTGAAAAAAATAAACAGATAGATCAATGGAACAGATTAGAGGGCCCAGAAATAGATCGGTATAAATCTAGTAAACTAACCTCTGATAAAGGAACAAAGGAGGAAGGGTAGACTTTCTGACAATCCCATGCTAGAATATTTCGATATCCATATTCAAAATAATGTTTCTAGCAAAGGACATTGCACCTTTCACAAAAACTAATTCAAAAGTGGCTAACAGAATGAAATGTAAGATACAAAACTGTTCAACTTCCATGAGGTAGCATAGGAAACAGTCTGGGTGACTTTAGAATTTGCAATGAGTTTTTAGGTGTAATATCAACAGCACAATTCATGAAAGAAAAAAAAATGATGTTGAACTCTGTTAAATTAAAGACTGCTCTGAGAAAGACACTGCTAAGAGAAGGAAAGATAAACAATACACTGGATGAAAATATTTTCAAAACACATCTGATAAGGAACTTGTATACAAAAATATACAAAGAATTCTTAAAATTCAACAATAAGGAAACAACTCAGTTGAAAAATTGGCCAAAGAGCTGAGCAGACATTTCACCAAGAATATATATAGAGGAAAGGATGCACAACATCATCTGTCATTAGGAAATGAAAATTAAAACAAAAATGAAATACCACTACACATCACTGAAAATGGGAAACAACACACAAAGTAGCGACATGGATCAAACGGTACAGCTACCGTGGAAGACAGCCTGGCAGTTTCTTACAAAACTAAACATAGCTTTACCATATGATCCACAATCACACTCCTAGCCATTTACCCAACTGAGTTGAAATTTTATGACCATAATTAGATCCACATAAATGGATTCATCTACATATAAATATTTTTAGAAGCTTTATTTATAATTGCTGAAAACTGAAAGCAACCAAGATTTGCTTTCGTCGGTAAATAGAAGCCAACAATGATATATCCATACAATGGAGTATTATTCAGCAATATAAAGGAGCTAGCAAACCAAGAAAAGAAATGGAGCAAACTTAAATGCGTATTATTAAACCCAAGAAGCCAGCCTAAAAAGGCTATATACTGTATCATTCCTATATGTGACATCCTGGAAAAGGGAGACCATGGGGACAAATCAGTAGTTGCCAGGAGTGTGGACATGGGGCAAGAGATGAAAGGGGAGCCCAGGAGCAATTTAAGGCAGAGAATATATTCTATATGATACTATGATGGTGGATACACGGCATTAAGCATTTGTTACAACCCACAGACCTCCAGAGCATGAGAGTGAACCTTAATGTAAACTATGGCCTTTAGTTAGTAACAATGTATCAATAGAGGTTCGTTAATTGTTACAAAGGTACCACACAGGCAAAATGTTAACTAGAGAAAATTACAGGAGAGGAGAGTATACAAGAACTCTCTGAACTCTTAGTTCAGTTTTCTGTAAACAGGAAACTTCTAAAAAATAAGGCAATTAATTAAAACAAAGCTTAAAGAGAAAAAGGTATGAAATACCAGTTATCATTGGATTATAACATTATTCAATTCTTATGAAGTGACCAAGATTTTTTTTTGTGCTCTTGTTTATGTCTTTATTGTTTGTTTCCGGTTATAAAAGCCCTATTAATTTACAGATTATACATTATTTAATTCTCTTAAAAAAAAGAAAAAGGGACCGGGGATTTAGCTCAGTGGTTCTGCCACCTGCCCCGCAAGCGCAAGGACCCGAGTTCAATCCCCGGTACCAAAAAAAAGAAAGAAAAAGGAGGTTCAGAGAATTGTCCAAGATAAAGACAAGGTAAAGCTGAGACGAAATCCAAGTATCCTCTCTATATCTACTTTTTAAAAAATTCCACCTTGTTGCCTTTTAATGATCTGAATTTTTACTGACTCTCTTCTTCAGCAACTTTCCACTTTTGGCAACAATTAACAGTTTTCTAGTGTACCAAAAATAGACCTAAGACTTGTATTGCTGTGGCTGAAGGCACAGCCTACACTTCGGGTGCAAGGTATCTGAGCTGTCTGTGAGACTATAGAGCAACTACAAATTGTGAATTCTTAAAGATTAGGATGAACTTTACTTAAGCTATTTTAATATTCTCACAGCACACGTGAACTTCTGTTGCCCTAATTCATGTATTTCAATGGTTCTATGGTGTTTCAGATTTTCTTCTCGCAGAAAACTGAGGCCTAATCATCTCGCAACCACTTTCCGAAACCAGGAATCGAAGGTCTAGAGTTGGCCATAATGTCAGGTGAAAAAATTAATGAAGACTATCCAGTAAAAATTCATGAGTATTTGCCAACATCTGAGATTCCCATAGGTGCTGTGGATGAGATGCTGAAGACCATGATGTCTGTCCCAAGAAACGAGTTGTTGCAGAAGTTGGACCCACTTGAACAAAGCTAAAGTGGATTTAGTTTCTGCGTACACATTAAATTCAATGTTTTGGGTTTATTGGGCAACTCAAGGGGTCACTCCTAAGGAACATCCACTAAAGCAGGAATTGGAAAGAATCAGAGTATACACGAACAAGTCAAGGAACTGACAAGAGAAGGGCAGGCAAGCTGGACAGAGGTGCAGCTCCAAGACTTGGGAAAAGTGCTCCCTGACAACCAAAACCTCAACGCACAGCGAGAGTTGCCAATAAAGGAAAAAGTAAAAATTAACTTTTGGTCTTGATGTACACAAACTCAAAAAGTACATCATTTTTACTGTTTTTACAACATAGATGATTACGTGGCAATGAGAGGTTTAAACTTACTCTTTGGAATTCGTGTGTAAGTTTGCACTTTACATTTGCAGCGCTAAGTATTTCCCCCACCAGAAAGACTGACTTAGCTTTACTAATTTTCCTATAGGGCACCATGAGGTTTTTAACACTGTGATTTATAGTTATAGTTTACCATCTCTTTTGGCAAGATACTCACTTCTCTATACAGGTCAGTCTTGCAAGTACCATTTTATAAGCAACTATGAAATTTAAGTTAAATGTTCTTTGTAAACATTTGTACTATTTTAAATGAATAATGATCTTCTGAAGTATGCTATCTATAGACTGAAATTTTAAGTACATGTGTTTTTACCGTACGATATGAAGAATGAAATGGCTTAAATATCTACTTTTTTCTGTGTAATTAATTCATCATGTCGTCCTTGTTGCAGGAATTATTGCTTTTTTGGTACTCAGAGTGTGAAATTAAAACTTTAAGATTGTACTTTAATTCTTGGTATATTGCCTTAGTGTCATGTTTAAAATAAAATACATTCCTATTAACTTTAGGTGGGAAAGAAGGTTGTATTTTGATGGCTGGCTGTTGGTCTGACAACTGTACCTTCTTAACAAAGGCTCTGAATGCTGTGGGGGTAAAAAAAGAAAACTGAGGCCTGACCTCATCTTTTTCTTTGAAACTATGCGTATGGCTTGTGCTATTATATAGTAAGTCAAATTATAATTAAGGTTGCTATTACCTCTGTTTAGGGATAGGAAATCTATCTTGTTAATAGACCCAAAAAAATGATAGTGAGGATGTGGAAAAAAGGGAACTCATACACTGTTGGTAGGAATGTGAATTAAGCTAATCATTATGGAGGACAGAACAGAAGTTCTTCAAAAAACTAAAATTAGAAGTACAATATGTCCCAGGAATCCTACTTTGTGGTACATATTCAAAGGAACTGAAATCAGCATATCAGAGATTGCCTGCGTTCCCATGTTCATGTTTGTTGGTGCACTATTCCTAATAGCTAAGCTATGGAATCAACTTAGGTGCCCATCAACAGATGAAAAGATAAAAAAGTATGTTGTACATACACAATGGAGTATGACTCATCCATACAAGGTAATATCCTATCATTTGCAGCAGAAAAGATGGACTGGAAGACATTATAGTAAGTGAAATAAGTCAGACACAAAAAGCAAATACTGCATGTTCTCTCATACATGGAAGAACAAATCAGGCTGAATGTAGAACAGTGAGTACTAGTGGTGGGAGAAGGCGGGAGGAAGTAGGAACAGAGCAAGATTGGATAACGACACTCAAAACACGGATGGAAGGAGAAAGTTCTTCCTTCTACTGCACAGCGGGGTGATTAGTGCACAATGATTATTATATATTTAATGAATAATTTGAAGGAGTTTAAAGGCTCTAATTATACAGTAATGATAAGAAGATAGAAATGTTAATTTCCTTGATTTGATCAGTTCACATTATATCCATGTATTGAAATATCATACTGTATGCCATAAATATTTATAACTGGTATGTGTTAATCAAAATTTATTTTAAAAAATTTAAGGAGGTGGAAATGCTAACTGCCCTGATTCCATCATTACCCACTGTATGAATTATTAAATGTACTGAATTATCTCACTGTACCCCACAAATATGTTCAACTAAAATAGTAATTTAAAAAAATTTTTTTAAAGATTCTCAAAGTCATATTCCTGCTAATCTGTTTTATTCATCCCTACTGCCTCACCCTTCTAAAAGGGTTCCTTTCTATGGGAAAGGAGGCAGCCCTGAAATTGTGTATTATAACACAGAGGGAAAGCACTTCATCTACTGACCTCTTTCCAGCAGTGATTCATGATTTGGTAGATGTTAGCGGAGGCAAGTCGAGGCTTATACAACCGAAATCCAGTACTGATGTCTTCTACCACCTCTGAGTTGCTTCGGTTTTCATACGGGATTTTGCCCTCGCTGAAGACTTCCCACATCAGCACACCTACAAGCAATGACCAACACAAGACAGTTAACAGCAGTGTCCCAGGTGGCAAACAAGCCAATCTACCTCCAGAGAGAGACCACAGGCTCCTTGGCAGTACAATTCCCTTCCCTTCCGCAGATCTATAGAAGTATTGTATCAAGCCCAGTTGAGACTAATTAGGCCTGTTCTCCTTTTTTTTTTCCTGTTGTTTTCTTTTTTCTTTTTTTTTGTAAAATTTTTAAAAAACTAAAAATTTTCCAACCTTCCTAGTAGCAAAGCATTTTCAAGCCCAGCCCTTTGTTACATTTAATTAAAATGTCACAATGAAAAGGCTCAGGGGAGGAAAACCCAATTGTCTACCCATGACATAAATGAATGGACTGGATGATGTGTGATACAATGGGAACTGGTGAGGATTGTAGAAAACCGGAGATCAAAGCTTTTGCCTTAAGGGGATGGCTTGAATTTGGCTTCCAGCCCAACTATGGCATGTGGAAATGAGGGCTCAGGATTGTCATATTTTCTGATCTTTTAAAAAAAGAAGTCAGATATTGACAGTTAAAAATGGGAACTCAATTTGATTTTTTCCATTAAGTTTATTGGTACATTTTAGGTATACAATACAGTTAGATAAATCATTGGGATCTTGTACCTTTACATGATGTATCTTGGTACTCAATTTGATATTTGAAACTAAATTGAAAAATCCAAAACAGAAACTTTTTGAGTATTGATACGTCATCACCAAAATGGAACGTTCCACAGCATGAAAACTTTGTTTATACACAAAATTATTAACAAACATTGTATAAAATTACATTCAGGCTATGTGTATAAGATGTATATGAAACAAAGGAATTTGTGTTTAGATTTGATCTTATCTTCAAAACATCTCATTATGTGTACAAATATTTCAAAATCTGGAATCTAAAACACTTGTTTCATTGCAAGCATTTCATATAAAGAAACTCAACCTGTATTACATATGTTGTAGATCTAGCAAAATACATCTTCTGGTTCTCCATTCTTCAGCTCTGATCTAATCCCTTTTGTTCTTCTACCCTCAATAGGAGGCTGACGCTAGCCTTATTGTTATCATGTGCTTATATTCATAGTTCAGCAGAGCACATGAGCTGACTCAGGGTTTTCCAAGTTGTAATCCTCAAGACATCTGCATAAAGATCATCTCAGAAATGTGTTCAAATGGCAGATTCCTGAGTCCCTGCACAGGCTCCCTGGGTCAGAATTCCTGGGGGCTCTTGGGAGGTGCCTGAAGAGCTAGAAATTCAAAGCTTGGCTGTAAAGAAGACTGTTTAGCACCCCAAGATGCCAGGATTTCCAGTGAGATTCACTTTGAAAGTTGAGTCCTGCTAAAACATGGCTTGAAAACAACTGCTTTAATACAAAACCTTCTTGTGCATCGATGGGGGAACTGAGAAAAGTTCAAAGAAGTTCCTTGACTTGCTCAAATATCAAAGTAAATTAGGACCCCCCAAAATCGCATGGCTTGACAAAGCCCAGCGGGCTGAGGCAGGCAGGAAGTTCTCCGCCCTCCTAGGTCCCTGTCACTCAGGCTTGCCTCTCAAGTTTCCCCAAACTTTTCTTCACTGAACCATTTCTGCTCTGCACCCAGCCATCCATCTCATTTCTGGACGGTTTTCAAATAACACAGCTTAGGCAGGGATGGATTTGCACCCAACCCTCTAATTTTAAAATGTAGCAGAAAATTCCCAGCCTGACACCCCGTGGTAGAATAACGCCTTTCAGAGTGAGAAGGTGCAGATGCCAGTGTGGCCACTGCTCCGGGCATCTCTTTGTGGGGTGCTGGCTTGGTGCATGTGACCTACTTCATCACCTATGGGGAGAGGATCATGTATCAGCTCTGACTCTCCTAGCCATATGCATGGGGAGAGGAAAGTCACCGAGAATGATGTCAGCACAACTTCTTTCAGGCTCATTCCATGTCTTAAACCTGGCTAACAAAGTAGCAGCCAAACGTGGTGAACAGGGATTATTTTAAGGAATAGATCAGAAAGATTTATAATTAACAAACTTCTTGGCTCTTAGAAATGGACGTTCTAAAATGCTAAAGATTTGTAAATGAGTTCTTTTCCTAAGCTATTTAACTAGCCAGCTTCCCCCTGGTTTCTACCACTAGTATACCTTTTTAAACCCTTCATATAGAAGGGCAAGCTCAGTCTGCACGTTCTACCACACTATAATCCTTCTTGCAAATACAAATGAAAATCAAAGAGGCTATCTGGTGTATTTCTGCGCCTACTTTCTGTCATGGTTTATGTAAAAATGCCCCCAAAGCCTCACGTGCTCACAGGCAGGGGTTTTGAGAGAGGACTCGACATGGGGTGATGTATCGGACTTGCTGTTAGGTGTGGTGACTAGAGGTCACCTGAAAGGGTCTCTCTCCCTCCCCAGCTTGTCCCTCCTCTGTCCACCATGAAGTGAACAGCTTTCTTCTGCTGCGCCCTTCTGTCGAGCCAGTTCTGCCCTGGAGCTGGCCAACTATGGACTATAACCATGAGCCAAAATAAACTGCTCCTCCTCTAAGTTCCAGGTTTCTGGTACTGTGTCTCAGCTGCAAGACAGTGACTCAGATGACTTGAGTATGCACAAACTATGACTTAGACAAATCCAGATAGAACTTTGAGTACTTCCTGTCACATGAACATCATTCGTTCCTTCCTTCCTTCGGTCGTGTCCATTTGTACTTTTCAGAAATCCTAATTCCTTGCTATGGTTGCCAACTGCACTGCCTTCTGTTCTCCCACCAAGTCATGAGCCCTGCTCTTTGGACATACCAGGCCTTTGTGCTTGCTGACAGTGGACACTGCTCCCTGGCTCTCTGAATGGTGACACTTCCCTCTCGTTACTCATTTTTCTGCTCATCTGTTACTTCCTCAGACAACACTACTTAAAGCAGACTCTTCTTCCATGCCAGCTACTCTCTACCACATTACTGTCTTGTTTTAATTGTGGCACTTATTACCCCCTGCTTAACTACATCTTATGTCTGTTAGCTTATTTGGACCACTGTTATCGGCCTCCCCTCCCCCAAAATTTAACTCCAAGAGGACAAAGGTCTTTTAGGTCCTATGTACTTTTGCAGTTTCAGCACCTAGATTAACCCCTGGAAACACAGATGCTCAATAAATTGCTGATGAGTGAATAAAAGTTATTGAGGGTTAAACATGGAAATATAATGATGGACAAAAACTCCCTGCCTTCCAGGGGTTGATGTTCTAATCTCTGAACCCCTACAGTTTTTTGACCTCATAGTTGCTGCCACTGACAGTCAGAGGCCTCCACAGGACAGAAGACAAACTCCTGGGCGGTTAAGCTGTTACCCATTAAAAGCATGGTGTGTGTGGGTGTGTGTGGGTGTGTGTGGGTGTGTGTGTGTGTGCGTATTTTTCTTCCTGAGGCATACAGGGACTTAAAAACTTATTTTTCTAAACAGTGTGACTCACTTGGGCCTAGGGATGCTTAGTAGGTAACTAAAAATAGAACAAAGCTGACCTTCATTTTGTAACATCAAATCCTTCCCAGCCCTGCACGTAGCCAGGTCAGTCATTTGGAGAATGCGTGTCTAAAAGTTGGTGAGACAGCGTTTATTAGGCCTAATTTACCTAGCCTGTGTCATCTCTCGTCCAGGTGAGGATACCAGGGTAGGAGAATTAATTACAGGGACATTGAGTTGCACCCAGAAATCTTCAGTGGCCTAAACCTAGGGTCACCTTGGATTCCAGCAGGGCCTCACATTACTGAGACTGCCCTGAGCAGAGCAGGAGAAACTGATGAGTCACGAGGACTCTCCCAGAGCTACGAAACCGGGACAGAAGCGATGACCAACAGGACCCCTGCCCCCCACCACACCCCAGAAAACTGGCCTCTGTTTGTTCGTGACTGTGCCAGTCTGATCCACCTCTTGAGACCTGCGCCCCCTTCAGCTTCTCAAAGTGAGGCCTTTTTTTAATCTTTTCTCTGTTAGGGGACCAGTTTAATCTTTGTTAGTGCTTTGTAACCCTTTGTTTTCTCTTTTCAGTTTAAAGCTTTTCTTGGAAATTTATGCCGAATGCCTTGGGCTTAATTTCTTTATCACTGAAGCAACTATCCACGCTAGCTACTAACACCACCAGAATCCTACTTCCACTTTTGTTTTCATCCCCCCCGCCCCCGCCTCCAATTTAAAATCTCTAGGAATAAACATAATCATAAGGGCCCCTGCATACATTTCGGAGCTGTGCCCCCACAGACCCTGCGTGGGATGCCCTCCCCGTGCTCCCATGTGACAAAGGAACGGGCAGCCCACGGTCCCAGTCTCAGGGCGCGGGGCCCGGATGTTACCCACCGAAAGACCACACATCCGACTTGCTGCTATAGCGACTGAAGGAGAACACTTCTGGTGATGCCCACTTCACGGGGAACTTGGTGCCTGTGGAACTAGTGTACTGATCATCAAGGACAAACCTGGGGACAATGGGGAAGGAGAAGGTCAGAATGTCCAGGGGCCTGAGTCCCATCCCCGAGACCGTGGATGCCGCATTCCTGTGTTACCTTGTCATCCCAAAGTCGGACACCTTGATGACCTGGTTTTCTCCCACCAAGCAATTTCGGGCAGCCTGGACAGGAGACAACAGAGAAAGGCAAACTGTTGACGGACAGTCAGTAATGAAGGAGTCTCCCATCATCACTGCCTCTGCTTTGCGGTGTGCTGCTGTACAACGGCACTGAGGGCCTTTACCAACACTAAGGTTCCCCAGCGCCTGCTAGAAGTGAGTGCAAAGCGAAATGTGAATGTGTAAGATGCTTTATCAGGATGGGTAGGTTTATCTTCATTCCTGGATCCTAATTAGAGGACAAATCCAGCTGTTGTCTAATCAATGATATGCTTGAACATAACCTGATGTGACAGAAATGCTGACACTATGGGCAACAGGAAGAAATCGATTCCCATTAGAGTAATATAGACTATTTTGAGGTGGTTCAATCTCTTAGAATTACTTGTCCACAGAGGGTACCTGGCCCCTAACTGGTACACAGAGGTTGGCTAGAAGGGCCTTTGGAGACAAAAGACTCCAGTGCGTGTCACGTGTGAAAGAGCCTGCAAGTCACATCGGGGTCACATGAATCATCCTGAGCCCCGAACACCAGAGATTCTGGTAGATCTCTCTATACCCTAAGAAAAATTGGGCTTGGCCATTTCCTTCTTTTATCAGGAAGAAACTGAGGCTCAGAAAGGCTAAGAAGGAGTGGCTTTTAGGTCCATTTTGGAAGAACGCAATCCAAGACTCAGAGAGTGTAAGTCAGAGGAAGGGCTGGGGTGAGAGCACAGATCTGAGTGCCCATGGAACATTTTCCTAGCAGGGCCTCCTGAAGGTGTGGGTGGGGAAGGAAGAAGCTAAGAAGGGAAGAGAGGCAGTGTGTGGTTTGTTCTTTACTAATGCGTTCTCGGCGCTGGCAGATGCCCTTCCTCCTCCACCTGTAGGTCACATACCAGATCTCTGTGGATGACGCATGCGTTTTCCAGGTAGGCCATGCCCTCACACACATCCAGGCACATGCCCAGCAGGGTCTCTGCTGCAAAGAGCCCCCGCTGGTTGCGCAGGTAATCGGATAGGCAGCCGTGTTCCATGAACTCAAACACCAGGCAGATGGGGGCCTGCTCCAGACACACGCCATAGAGCTGGACTAGTTTGGGATGAGAGAGTTTCCTGGAGGAAAAAGGCAAGGGTGAGATGGGCCAAACTCAGTCTTTTAAAAGTGCTGAATATTCTACAGCACTAAATGGCCGAATGCCGCTTTTTGGTTTTGAGAAGAGAATCCAGCCCCTCACCCAAACAACAAAGCCATTGGAGTCAAGACCTGAAGGTAAAAAGGAGTCAGCTGGTTTGCAGGATAAACAGAGGCAGTGCAGCTGGGATGTCACACATCAGAGGAGAGAGGAGTAGGACATAGGCTGGGAGGTTTTAGGGCTACCACAGTAGGCCTTCTAGACCAGGCTGAGGAGGTTCACTTTCTTCTCTGTGTAACAGAAGCCGCTGCTGGGATTTGAGCAGGGAGGGTAGGACGTGGCGTGAGGGTGATACACAACGCAGCAGCAAGCACCCTCCCCAAGTGTGTGCAGAGCCCTGTGTGGCCACTCACATCATGACTTCAGCCTCCTCGATGAAGTCCTCTTCAGACATGGCCCCCTCCTGAATGGTTTTGATAGCCACCTTGTCCTTGTTGAGCCAGTAGCCAAGGTGGACCAAGCCAAATTGCCCACTGCCAATCTCCTGCACGAAAGTGAGCTCTGAAGGGTGGATCACCCATTTTCCTGGAAGAGAGAGAAAGGGTGTTTCAGAGGAAGCCAATAAGAAGTTACAGGGCTACCAGAAAATGATAGAGTCTTCTCTAGAATTTTAGCCTATAGTTAGTGCAACTCAAAAATGGCAAATAGTGTAAATCCTAAACTTGGAACTACCATAGGTAATTATCTTTTCCCTCAAAAACAATAACATGGAATATGCATCTAAAATCATTAGAAATGTGTATGTGGAAGTAACATGGAAAGGAGAAGGGTGACATTAATCAAGACATAAAAGTAAATGAAGGGCTGGGGATTTAGCTCAGTGGTGCTGCCACCTGCCTCGCAAGCGCAAGGTCCCAAGTTTGATTCCTGGTACCATAAAAAAACCCCCAAACAAACGAAAGTAAATGAAAAGATTATTACAAGGTCCCAATCATTTTCCATACCTGACTATAAATTTTATTGTTATTTTTCACACAGAACAAATTTCATTTGAGTTTGACATTCATTCACTTATTCATTCATTCATCTATCCACTGAAGGCGTCCACTATACACACAGAACTCTGGTGGGTTTAACAGGAATAATGGTTAATGAGGACAAGCTAGCAAGCACAGTGTCTAGCACATGTCTAGTTCTCAATAAATATCTGAAAAACAAATGAGATGATGTGAGCTCAGTTTTCCCAGTGACAACATGAGTGACCAGACACTCTGAGATCTCGTCCAGCATGGGCACTTGAGGACTCCACAGTGACTCTTATTTTCATAAGGATGATACAGATCCATTATCCTTTCCTGATGCTTGGTCTAGTACAGAAATAGCCCAACTTCTCTCTTTCAGGCAGACACTCAAGAGCAGACTGGATGGAGGGCTGCTGCTGGTTAGGGAAGAAGTGTTTCCCTTTGGCCACCTGTGTCAAAATCACCCAGGACACTTGTTTAAAATGCAGACCCTACTCTCAGGGTGTGTGTTTTGGTAAGTGTTGGGCAGGGCCCAGGAGTCAACATTTTTAATCAGTGTTCCAAAAGGTGTTGGTGCACACTGAAGTTTGAGAACTGCCAACCTGTGATATGCAAAAAGATAGGTGGTACTTGTTCAAGGGATGTAAACTCAAATGCCTTTAGGTTCCAGGCTGATAATCCCAAAGAAGTGAAGCACTTCCATAGGACAAGAGTATCACAGACAGCTAAGTTAGACAGAAATGTAATAGGCAGTCCGACAGGGCCGAGCCCTCAGAAAGTCAGGACAAAGGATAAATGCACGCTACATCTGTGGCCGAGAGACACATCAGCTGGAGGCCAGCCCTCAAGATTTCAACAAAAGGACTGGGCCTGCATATTCCCCCAAGGGATGACATAGGTGCTAACTCCGAGTCTAGTGAAGTCGCCTCAGAGGTGACCACAGATCCATTACCTACTTGAGAAGTTCTTTCCATGTACTCTTGCTACGTGACTTGGTTCCCCATTGGATCACTACTGCCTAAGTGACTATACCTGTAATCTTATTGATTGTTCATAGCTGTAACCCACATTGTACCCACATGGGTTTTGCTCTATAAAACTTCCCTGTAAAGTGGGGTCCCCAGCAACCCATTTGAGTCCCGTTCCGTCTCGCTCAGAAGCTATATCTTTCCCCCTCAATAAATGTTTTCCTACTCTTAACCTCCATTGTTCTTAGAATTCATTCTTCACTTTTAGAGAACATGAACTTGGCGTATTAAACATCTAACAGGTTGGGAGATATAATATTCTCTCATATTTCATCTTCTGTATCAAGAGGACATAGTAGGGTCTGCTTTACTGGAGATGCACACTCTGTTAAACGCATTTTAACTCTGTATCCTTCTGCATTGCTAGAAATCAAACCCACATTCTCTATTACTGAGCTATACCCCTAGTCTTCCAAAAATTTTAATACTCTGCTATGCAAACATTCTGGATTCTGCTAGCTCATAGCCTTTGAAAACTGCTCAACAAATCAGATAATAAAAAAGGTTCCTAGAAGATAGACGAAACATAGTGCTAAGGCATTGCTGCCTATTACGGTTTCGAAAGCATTAGTAGAGTGCTTTGTTCAAAACAGATACTTAATAGACACTACACTGACAAATTCTTTGTTAAAACCAAAGGATATTGATTTGATCTATGTGCTCATACATTCACTTTATGCACAGTGAAAATATTCATCCATGCTCCCATGCCTATATATACAATATCTATGTTCTGATGATCATTTAGAAGTCTGGGAAATAGTCAAGCTCATGGCAAGTCCACTTCGCATTTGTCCCTGACCTTCAGAGACATGAGTTTTAGTTCAAATGCCTAACGTTTTTTGTTGTATTGCTCACCGTATCTTAACCCTGCAGTCACCGGGGCTTTCTGCCTCCAGGAACAAACTGGATACCGGAGTCGAGTGACCAGGCCTGGGTTGATTGAAAAGCCAAAGGCAGTGGTTAGGGCTTTGCTGTAGCAGCTGTCCAAAGTATATCACCAGGAAAGAAATCTGATGTAAAAGGTACTTTTATTCTGGAAAACAAATCCCAAAGTCTAATCCCTGATAGCATGCTCTCCTCGGGCAGATTCACATGCACAGGCAGGAAGGTGGTGAAAATCATTTCCACAGCACAGTTTGCTCATGGAAGATGGGTGAGATCATCAAGTATTTGGCATCCTTTCCTGTTTGCACATTTAGTTATTATTTATGGCCAGCTCGTCCTACGTGAAGAAACCAACTGGGGCTTCTGCCCTTTCTTTCTAAGTTCTTTGCAAGGGTCCCCCTTGGCTTTGCCTTTTAAAACTCACCTCCTCCATTGTGCTGGTGATAATTGATGAGAAGAGGGATGGAGTCAAACACATACTTTTCAGCCACATAGTATCGCTTGGGGTTGTCATTTGTTTCTTTGATATGATAATGTTTTATACAGGGGTTGTTCTCACTTTAAACAAATGAAACATGGTGATTATTAAGAAAAATACTGAGACATAAAACATCTACTCTTGTCAGATTTGTATTATCTTTGTTGTGTAATCTTTCACAAGCATGGCAGATGTACAACAATCCTGACAGGTTGGTTGCTGGCGCCATCACTGTTGTGTTAAGAAGTACTCTGAGGCTGCACCTGGCCCCACTTGGCATCAGTGCAGTGACAGACGGGTTCACAGGCACAGAATGGGGAAATGGCACTGTACACACTACATGTTTGCCTTCCCTGCCCTATGGATTCAGCGAATTGTCAGCCGTCTGTTGAGGAATCCTTGCTGGGCCCTTCACACTCGCTTGACTTTGAGCAGAAGATTTAGCATTGTAGGCTGACTGGCACGCTTGGGAAGAACTGCTTGCATGGTCAACCCTTGGCTGGTGTTGGGATTTCAGGAAGGCTGTCACCACTCCTGATACGGGCTGCTGGCTGTGATGAAACGGTGTCATTGTGGTCTATGGTGAAGTGAGTTTTCCTTGTGGGAGTCTGGAATTTTGGGGGGTGCTAGACAGAGGGTGTGTACTTAACCAGTCTCCAGTAAAAGCCCTGGGTAATGAGTCTCTAGTGAGTCCCCTACTGGACAACACTTCATGTGTGTTGTCACACCTCCTTGCTAAACTAAGCATGTCTTGTGTGACTCCACGGGGAAAGGTATCTTAGAAGCTGCATTTGGTTTCCTATGGACTTTGCCTATGTGCCTCTTCCTTTTGCTGATTTTTCTTTGTATCTCCTTGTGGACATAATCTTAATGAATGTTGCTCTGTGTGTGAGGGATCATACTCATGAATTACTGGAACTGCCGGTGATTTGGTGGACCCCCATCACAGAATTTAGCTCTCATTCTGTCTCCATCAGGTCTTATGGGTTTCAGACTACTCTCCTCGCTGTCCCCTGGCTATGACACAGCCACATCCCCTCTGTGATGCTCACCGTGTCCTCTGCCTTCCTGGGACAGTGGCCTTGCTCCTCACCACCTGTCCACACACTGCCCTTCCTCCAGGTCCCACTTATGTCCTCCACCTTCTGATAAACATTCCCTGAGGTCACCTTGAAAATTATTTTTCTCCTCTAAATTCTCACGGCATTCTGGTCCGTGCCAAACTGTTTCGTTCTTATTAATGTTGTGACGAGAAGAGAATTTGAAAGCTAGATGGACCCTTGGCCACCTAAGAGCACTGAATGGAAGGGGGAGTGCCTGCTGGTGAGGGTTTTCTGATCTGCCAGGCTCAGCATGGAGGGGGCATGGCTACTTCCGCTCCCCCGGCGTAGGGAAGCAGCAGCTCTTTGAGCCTTGATTTCTTCTGTGTGAGCTAAGTAGGGTAATACCTGCTCCCAGGGGTTCTTAGGATTGGAAATTGTAAAGTTCCTGGCACATAGTAAGAATCTATCAATAAAGTTTTATTAGTAGAGCCAGAACTGGAATTCATATATTTTCACTTCCATTTGGAAATATCATTTTTGTTATTTTATATATTAAATGAAATTATATTCTCATTAAAGCTAGGGCCAAGCGTTTTGTTTCTTTAGAGCTCTGCTATTAGGCATGCTAATGGGGAAGAGGACCTGACTGGCATCTAGCCTTGGCTCTGTCTCTTTCTAAATGTCTTCAGTTCTGCCCTTAATCTCTTTGGCCTTGACCTTCTCAGGCCATGCCATTTCCAGTGAGCATCTGCCTTCTGCACTGTTTGGCTTTGCTGTGTGTAACCCACCCCTCCTCCACCTCAGGAGCGGCTCCCTCTCTACTTTGCTGAGTCAGCACCATACCTTACAATGGCCTTGGTGAAAACAGATACAGTGTATGTTCCTGGAGTCCTGGAATCTCGAACCATGAAGGCTCCCTCTTTGCCCTAGTTTGGTTGGAAAGAGAGGAATGTTAGTGATTTCAGAAAAGCAGGCCCATGCACCCAACTGTAGAGGGAGGCAGTACTGCTTTGGAATAGAGCAAATTTTCAGTAATAGTGGCTACCATTTCGCTCATTCATTCCACAGCTGTTTCTTGAGATCCTACATGGGTCAAGTTCTGGGCTGATACTATCCATGAACGAAAACAGACAGATACAAGCCTTGTCCTCTTAGAGCTCATCATGTACTAAATTCCGCAGATACTTCCCCAAATGCTGAAGGCTGGACATTATCGTCCTCCATTTCCAAGGAGGACACAGAGTACCAGAGAGCTTAAGTGGTTTTTCTACCACCCAACACAAGTGAGAGGCAGAGTTACTTTGGCATGCGACAAAGCCCATGACAATGCTATCCACTCCATGATGCCTCCATTCAATAGATGTTGGAAAATATTTCTCCATTCCCTACATGGGCACGAAACTTCCTATCCTAGAAGCGTCATCAATTCCTTAAGGAAAATATATTTGTCAGGCTCTTTCCAGAGTGCTGACTTTGCTGTAGGTCAGGATGAAAAACATTAAGCTCCTGGCTTCATAACAGAGGTGGCAGAAGGGAGTGCCCCGAGAATGTACCTCTCGTTGCCTGAAAATTTTGCCACTTCTGATGAAATACACATAAGCAAATGGATATGCCAACTTATTTGTTCCAAGTGGGAATTAAAAAATGTAACTCTGCTTTAAGTAAGTCATGCATAATTTCTGTCCCTACCCAGCTCTAAGTCTGCCTCGGTAACATTGGTAAACCTGTTATTTACTTAATGTACAGATCGTGAGAGCCCTAAGTGAAGGTCAGAGTTAGACAGGAGTCTCATGTGGCAGGCACACAGTTATAGTATACAGACCAAACTAGATACCACATAGAACAACACAAACCCATTCAACCTCTGGTCCCAAAAGTGTGCGCATGCATGCACGCACACAAGCACGCACGCACGCACGCACACACACACACAAAAATACATGTAGAAAGTCATACTTGCTTCCTATAACTTGGCTGTAGCCCTGTAGAGGATGGAAGTGGGAGACACTGTGCTCTTACATCATTGTGTGTTCTTGCCAAACCTATAATTTACCACGTAAACTTTGGGTTTGAGTACTAAACAGTTAGACTCTTGAAATCCCTAACTCCTCTGATCTCTCTTGGAAATTTCAGGAATCTATTTGGAACTGGAAGTTCAGATTTGATCTCTGCTTTTCATTTGCAGCCTTGGTTTTCCAGGCAGAGAGCTTGGGCTGCCCTCTCTTGCTACTGCCTGAAAGCAGAGAAAGAATCCAGCAAAACAAGAAAGTTACTACATTCCTTTTTCTAAAATGACATGAAATAGTCCTTCCATTTTGTCTTTTGCACATATCAAGTTTACTTTGAGTATTTTATATATCATGCATTATTAAATTCAGGAGACTGAGTTGTAAATCTTCAGAAAACACTAATGCACCTTTTGCACATTGCTGCCCTCCTTGTGGCTCTACTGTCACAGGAGCTGTGTGAGGAATCTTGGGCATAGTAAAGAAAAGGAAACCCAACCAGATTCTTATTTTTCCCATTTCAGATATGAATGCTAACTGTTTATTCAGCAAAATATTAAAAACCTTTTTAACTTTTGCTTAAAAATCATTCTTTTAAATATTGAGTTTTCAAAAACTAGATTTTTTTTCCCCCCTTTGGGGTCAGCAGTTTATCCAATTTCTGAAGTAAAAGTGGTCTATGGGCATAAAATTCTCCCATTTTAAGTGTATAATTCAATGAGCTTTCCTAAATTTACAGAGTTGTGTGACCATCACCACAATCTAATTGTAGAACACTTACATCTCCCCCAAAAGAAATCCCTGTCCCATTTGTACCTCTGTCACATTAATATGCATGCTGACTCTGTAGGGCTGCTCATTCTCCATACTTCATATAAATAGAATTGCAGAATATGTGGTCTTTTGTGATGAATTTGTTCACTTAGCATATTGTTTTCAAGGCTCATCTAAGTGGTAGCAGGTATCAGTACTTTACTCTTCTTATGGCTGAATAATGTTTCATTGCCTGATCTACCACATTTGTTTATCCATTGGTCATTTGATAGGCATTAAATTATCTTCGAAGAGCATGTTGTAGCTGCTATGGGCTACATTTGGTGATAGCACCAGGAAACTCTCGTTTGGACTGAGGCAGCCAAGGGTTCTGTTGAAAGTGTAACATATGCTTTACTGCCCACTTTCTCCAAGGAGCTCAGAGATAGTCACAACCACCAAGGCATTGGCACCTCAGAGGTCAGTACTCCTGTCACCGCTATGCAAGGGGGCACTGACTTGTGCGATGCAGCTACCGAAGACCGTCACTCCCTGGAACATACCCAAGGTCTCACTTTACCATTTGCTACTTAATCCAGGAAAATAAAGAGGGAACAAGAGGAAAAAGTAATGCAAAGGAGGTGATGTATCACCCTGGTGGGATGGCAAAATAGAAACTAATTCATATATTTCTTTATTAACACTGACTTCATTAATTGGTCTATGTGTGTGTGTTTGAAGAGGCACCCCTGTTTTAGACTAGGCAATGCTAATGATCTGCTTTCTGAACTTATTCCCCATTTATCGCCCCTTAATATGAAGGACATGGACCAGTTGTTCTCTAAAGAGAATTTTAATTTGAACATTGTGAATTCCAGATGTTTTCTGATAAAATGTATGAGCATTGAGCCAGGCGTGGTGGTGTACGCCTGTAATCTCAGCACTCAGGAGGCTGAGCCAGGAGGATTGCCGTGAGTTTGAGGCCAGTCTGGGCTACACAGTGATTTCAAGACCAGCCTGAACTACAAAGGGAGACCCTGCCTCAAAAAAAAAAAAATAAATAAAAAAGGTATGAGCATCGATTTCCTCATCTGAAAAATGACCTTTGTAAGGCTGCCGGGGAAATTAAGTAGAGTGCATAAGACAGTTCCTGGAATGTAATCCCAGAACAAAGGCTATTAGGGTTGTTATTAGCCATTATTGTTGCATGCTGTAGTGTATCATCTGTTGGAAGCATGAGTTCCATTGTCTGTCTTCATCTGAGGCATGCTGGCTATGTTAGGAATATATTTCTTTCTGTCTGTACAACTCGAACATGATCTTATGGAAAATATTCTCCACAAAGGGTAGGTTGTTGTGAAAAGATAGACTGATGACTGTGGCCTTGTCACATTGTGAAATAAGCAATGTGCTTCTGAGTGTCTCTGATGTACAGCCAGCTTTCATTCTGAGGTGGATCCTCTCTCATCTTGAAACAAACTACTATTGCTGATGCATTTCTGATGACATCTTAGAAACTCAGAAGTATGATCAACTCATGCTTTAGATAAGGCTCTCGTCTGAAGTTCGGGTCACTCAGTGTGTGAGATGCTGAAAGTATACTAAGTGATTTACGGAGTACCTGCTCATTAGGAACTACATCTCTACCTAGATGGAATTAAGTCAGGAGAGAAAATCAGAAGAGCCATGGCGGAGTAAGAACAGAGCCACTGGAAAGTAATAACATTACACCAAGAGGTTCCAAGGTGAGAGAAACAACAGCTCCTGCTGTGGGACTGGGAAGGCATGAAGGCTTCTTGGAGGATGCAACATTGAAGAACTGACAGGACACAAGCCCAGAAGGAGAAAAGATGTCCCCAAAATCTACTGAGCTGGAGACAGAACAGGGACCAGAATCCAGTGCAACCTCACTTTATCACGCTATCTTTTCATGCCTCTCTCCCTTAATCCTGATATCCCTGGGTAAGGTCAACCCCGCTGTTCATGCTGCATGCCTTAGAGAAGAGACGGTTTATGAAAAATAAGTGAAAGCAAGTGGTATATGTGGTATATTTCCTCTGGACACAAAGTCCAACCATGCAGAATCTGATTTCTGACCTAGCAGAGAATTAGGCATATAGGCAGAGCCTTGATAGACCCCTGCAGCTGTGGGACTAACATGATGGCCTGGAGTCTTCCTTAGGTTTCTTCTCTTCTCTAGTTGTTGCTGGTCCAGAAGCCCTCCGGAATATTCATCATCAGATGTGAAAACTTGTTAATCTAACACACCAACCCACGGCATTGGCATAAATCACAATATGGCTGAAAAAACCAGCCATTTATTTATTTTAAGTCAACAGACAGGGTAAGGAGACTTACAGTGTCCAAAAGAAGTTTTTCAGCTTTGTCTCGACTGATGCTCTTATTGTACCACCTGGAAGCAGGAAAAAGTCATGTGTCAGTGGTATTTTTTTAAAATCTTATTTTAAAAATAAAACAATGTCAGAAAAATCATCTATTCACTCTGTTTCTATCAGTGTTTTCTAACTCAAAAACAAAGGCATGACCCATTTTTAGGTAGTAAAATGTTTACTTGGGGAGGAACAAAATAAAATAGATTTGGAAAAATATTGATAATTGTTGCAGCTGGGTTTGGGCACATTGATCATATTATTTTATGTTTTGTGCATGTTGGAGATTTTCCATAATGTAGTCTCACAAAACATTTCGTTTCCTCTCTATTTCATAAGTCAGTGGGTGGTTATAAGTAGAACAGTATTAGCACAGCTATAAAAAGTTAATACCAGTCTGAAAGTCAGCAAATATCCTTTTAAAACAACTGCCATATTTTCCTCTTTAAGGCTGGTCTTCCAGACCTTTTGCAAACTAATTGCATTATTTTTATAATTTTGTTATCTAATGAAAATAGCTTAAAAGTTCATCTTGTTCTTTCCCTGCCCCAACCTTAAAATCCCCAAGCTATTTCTCCAAGACGTTCTAGTTCTTTTCAGTGGGGAGTGTTATTTAGGATCCAAGATCTGAGCAGTGTGTGTAAGCATTGCAACTGAGGTATCGCTGCTTCTGGATCCCTGTGGACTCTGAACTGGGATGTATACGTAGATGGTAGGTATTCGGTACACAACAATCGAATTTCATTAAACATTCAGTAGTTCCATTAAAATCATACCTCCGTGAACTATCTTCCTCAATGATAGCTTACAAATAAACAGTTTCCACAGTCTAAACAGACATTTAATGTCTACTTGTTTGTATGTTCTCCCAGTATTGGAAGTATCACAGTAAACTAAGTGTTAAGTCAGTTTATATCTGAGCCAGTGTTCATACCCGCCCCCCAGGTAAAACCAGCATTTCTGGAGTTCTCAATAGAATTTTTTCTTTTTACTACAATCTTCTCAGGTACCTGAGAATCATTCCTTTGATAAAAGGCGAAGGTAGCATATACCACACTCCCCTCCTCTTTCTTTTACTGTTTAGTGGGTCAGATAACAGAAGAGAAGAAAACATGTCAAGAAAAGAAATCATCTGGTATTTTTATAGTCAACCATAACCTACTTAATCTAGGGAGGATTCCTTAGTACTATATTTTTTCCCCAAATAACAAATAAAATATCTTACTCATAGGTTTCCAAGTTATTGGGAGATTTTTCTACCAGATAACTGCTTGGTACATATCCTTCATGGCTGTTAAAAAAAGAAATTAATATTTAGACTAACATAGAACTAATTTGTACATCTTCATTTTATAGGTCTAATCCATTAAAAGTCAGTTCCAAATCGCAAGGACCCGAGTTTGATCCCCGGTACCAAAAAAAAAAAAAAAAGTCAGTTCCAGATGAAGAGGTTTCAGATTGTTTGGTATGTGTGATAAGATATATTTTAAGTTTTACGATAAAAGAATTGACAAAAGTAACAAAAGCTTGTTATCTTTTAAAAGCAATAGACTTCACTACTAAAATATAATAAATAACCAATGTCCATTTTACTTTAAAAAGCTCTGCTTGGTGCCTCTCCTTACTGTGAAATTCCCTCTACTGGAAAAAAAATTAATATTTAGATTCTATTTTTTTAAATGAAGCATTTTCATGTGTGAGAATCAGTATTTTTTCCACTTTAGTGCCATCATTTTATAGAATTAAAGTAATTAAAGAGTAACTTTCCAACTACAGGTCCTAAAAGATGCTCCCATTAGGTATTACAAGCTTTTCAATTCAAGGACTCCCTAACTGAGCGTCTTCAGCTTTATAAACAAAAGAAAAAAAGGATAAAGTCAGATTGTACTGGGGGTGGGAAGACAATTTTGAGGAGGAATTAATATTTGTGCACAAAAAAACATAAAAAGAAATTAATGAGTATCAATATTTTTATATTTATGAATAGCTTTGCAGTTCTCCAAGCCCTTTCATTTTCATTACTTGTTGAATACCAGAAAGTGAGGGCAGAGTCCCTTGCATTTTCTGGGTATCTGGCTCTTACCTGTAAACCAAGGGACCTTAAACTATTTTCAAGACAAACATGTGTAATCTATCATGGTACAATTTCTTGGAGGATTGAACATACAGGTTCAGAATCATCCCAAACCCAGTACTCCAGGGTAATCAATGGGAATCAGCCTGTGAAATTTACTAATCCTTTTCTGGTTTGTTTTTTTTTTTAGAATTTCCCTTGGTTTCATCTTTTTTTTTGGCTACACAATATGCTTACAATTATATTAATAAAACAAACTATTTTGCTGTTCAATACAATAAACTTATTTTAATATGCCAATCTAAGTTCGGTTATTTACATAAATGATAATCCTTATCAGTTATGTGTGGATATGTAGAATTTACAAAGCCTTTTCATTTCCATCGCTTCTCTGATTTTTTCAACATGGTGAGACCCAAAAAGCTGATATCATCTGCATTTTACAGTCAAGGAAACGGATTCCCAGAAGGTAAGTGACTTGACCACAGTCACATAGGAGCAGAGTCTGATACTAAAGTCCAAATCCTATTTCTCCCCATTCACAAGCTTTCCCACACTATTATAAAGCAGACAGGGGAAGTTCCAGAACACAGGCTGGCCTCTAGGGGCTCCTCTTTCATGCCCTTTGAAATGTAGATGGAGCCTTTCCAGGCACCACTGAACAAAGGGTGAACTGTCACTTGGGGAATGAGGACCTAGAAGAGTTCCTGGCACATTAGGGGTGCTAAATGATAGGTGATTGAACTGATACACTTCTGAGGAAGTCCTTGGTATTGGTGGACCAGGACAGCCTTGAATCTTGATTGCCCCCACTAGTCACTGGAAAAAGAAGTTCCAGATGAGAGGGCTTTGAGGTCTGCTCTTAGCTAGTAAGCTACTTGCCTTTCAATCTAGCATTCTCCATCTAATCACATTTTACCCACCTCGCCTCTCCTGCCCTGCCTCTACAGTGGGATTGATGAGGATACTTAAAGAGAAGATGTCTTGAGACTGTAAATTTTAGTGGATTTGAAAAGTTAAGCCTTGATCTTAAGAACAGTTTTTTTTTCTTTTCTTTCTTTTTTTTTTTTTTTTTGGTACTGGGGATAGAACTTGGGACCTTGCGCTTGTGTGGCAGCTGCCGGAACCACTGAGCTAAATCCCTGGCCCTTTTTGGGGTGGGGGTTACTGGGAATCGAACTCAGGACCTTACGCTTTTGAGGCAGGCAGCAGAACCACTGAGCTAAATCCCCAGCCCAAGAATAGTTTTTATCTAACTCACCTGATTGGTCTCTCTCTCTCCCTCCCTCCCGCCCCCCCTCTCTGATTATTGATAGAGTTGGCACATCCATAACCCTATTGTGAGCAATGTAAATTTGGCAAGCTTCTTGAGAAAATTATTATCAAAATTAAACTATCACATACTCTGACTCAATGATTAAAAATGTTTTATAATGTATTCAAAAGATTGCCAGCCTATATCAACAATGAAAGCTCTTCATTATATCCTTGTTTGAAATAACAAGAAAAATCCAACTAACTTGAACACTAAATGTCCCATCACAAAATCTTAAAATATTCATAATGAAACCATACATTCTGACACCATGCAATTATGTTAAAAAGAGGTAGATATGTGTGTTGCTATGAAAAGATAGTCTAAGATATATCATTTAAGGTTAAAAGAAAGGCAAAGGACAGAATAAATCATCTGAATGCAAATATGAAAAGGATACATTTGTGTCAGTGTAAATTTCTAGTCTAGGACACACAAGAAAGTACTAATAGGATTGAGTTAGGGGGTGCATGGAGAGTAGCTTATTTTCCATACATTCTCACCTACAATCTTTCTTTCTTCTTCCTTCCTTTCTTCCCTTTTCTTTAGTGCTGAGAATCCAGCTGAGGGCCTTTTACATGCTAGGCAAACATTTTGCCACTGAGCTACATTCCTAGCCTCAATTTTTTTTTTTCATTATTTTTTTTCAAATAAAACATTATCATAGGCAAAGCTAGAATGTTTTCTTTTTCTTTTTTCATATTTTTTAATTAATAATGATCTTATGCATTAAAATATTAAACCTTTAACATTAATATAAAAGAATGTATTATAATTATTAATTTTTGGCGTTAATATATAAAAATGTATTAGTCACAGTGTTGTAGGTATCTGCAAATTATTGGAGATAACCCAAGTGCTTTCCAAAGAAATTTGCTAAATTAGGATACATTTATGTGCTGAATCTATGCAATCATTGAACTCATATTTTGGAAAATATCCCAGCACATGGCCAAATACCTCTGATATTAAAAGGAAAAATCCTCATAAAACCGTATAAATGTTATGCATTCAAGCTAGGGACTAGTATCTACATCTGAGAACATACTGAACTAGTAACAGCAATTTTGCATTTCAGATTAAAGAAGCGCTTATAAGATTTTTTCACTCAAAAATCCCATACTTGGCAATGAGTATTTGTGCAACCTTATTTTCTTCATAAATCACCTGGGTGGCTAGTCCGATGACTATACTCATAATTAAATCTTTAGTATGTTCTGATGCTTCCTAATTTAATCACCCATCTGGGCCATCTCCCTACCTTTTCTTTCAAACAAAAATAAGCACTTCATACTGGGGTGTACCTCAGCTGCATTTTAACGCTCAAGAACAACAGTGGTGGGCAGAACAGGTTCCAACCTCTCAAACTGCAGATGTTGGTGGAAAAACCCAGGGGATTTTTAGATGAGTTCAAGGCCAGGAGTTCTGAAGATGGGTACAGAGAGTAAGCAAGCAGAGCAAGTGGTTGCCTCCAGGCCACTTCTGAGAAGAGGAAAGAATCCTCCCACTGTCCTTCCTCCTCTCACCCATTTTCCTTTCCGACTCGTTGCTGTGGGCCTGCTGGGCACTCTGAGGAAGGTGGGTCCGATCACTGCAGCACTGTCTGATTTCACAGCACCTCAAAGGCTGGGTCGGTAACCACAAAGATGCCTTACCCGTTCCTGTCTTGAACTCTCCACCAGTGAGTCTCAGAACTGTCCAGCAGGAAGTATTCTTCATTGCGCTGCAGAGCCAGCTCCTGAGGGTCATTGGTTTGGTAGTCATACAAGGCAATGACCAGGATCTCTTCAGGATCCTGAAGTGATCGCTGGGGAAGGGACAACAAAACCAAGCAAAGACATAAAAAAGTGAAGTGCAAAACAAGGTCAGCAAACTCCTAAACTGCAACTTACTCTGAACTTGTGCCAGGTCAATACACTGGCTCCTATGATCCATGGAGGCATTTGCAGAGATAATCTGCTTTCTTCTATTGGCTTTTTTTATGAGCTAGAAATATGCTGCTAAATAGGATGCAAAGGCATCAGTATCCAATTCTTTCTATGAGGTAAATTTCAACCACAGTGCATTCCAAGCAGCCAGTTTGCCTGCTGGTTTCTCTGTCTGCACCATGTCCTGTTCTGCAGCCTCTTGGAAAAGGGTGTAGTCAACACCAGGTCACTCAGCCCATGCTTGGCTGATTTGATTTGTGGGTTTGTCCACATCCACAGACTCAGAGGCTATCGGAGCTGAAATTTCTCTGAGAGCATTTAATTTTCTCTTTCATTTAGGATGGGGAAACAGGCTCAGATGGGGAAAGAGATATGGCCAATTTAGGGAAATCAGTCTTAATGCTTCCTTCGTTACTCATACACGAGCTCCCTTCTTTCTCTTGTACCAACTCTGACCTATATTTCTGTCTTGCAGTACCTTTCTTAGGATGAAAAATTGGGAATGTGAAGAGGAGATCAGAAATCGATCACCAGAGTTCAGGATGAACACACTTTCACCACGCTGGAAGATTCAGGGACACAGGAAATATGGAGAAAGACTGAGTTACTGGCCAGGAAGTGACAGTGTCAGAAAGTCCAAGTTCTGTAAGTACTGCAAAGTATTTGGTGGCATAAAAATACCCAAGCTAAAGAGCATGGGAGTTTTATTTTACTGATGTAGAAAGGTCCCAGATTGGAATCTGAAGCTCAGCTACATGTGGAACTAATGAGGTGGTGGTGCATTGATTTCTACAGACAAGCGTGGATAGACGGGAGGCTTTTGCTTAGGAACTAATGGAGGGAGGAATAGTGCTTAAGGGCACCTGGAGAAGAAGCAGGAGAAAAGTGGCACGACACTACTAGAGGTCCAGCTCACTGGTTAATCCCTAGGAAGAGAAAGATCAGAGCAGAATTCTCAAATTATGGGATGCTTTCCCATGGGGACATCCAGGGGAGTATTTGGGCTGCTACAAGTTTGATGTGTGCTATAGGTATCTGGTGGGCAAGGGCCACTGCAGAATGCTCTGTAGGGTCTCACACCCTGTTAGACATCCATGTGGTAAGAAATCTGCTTATGATTATAACATATACAAAGAGCCTAGGCCTAGGTCCTACCTCTACCTGATACAAGTACTAGGCTTCCCAGGAATGCACTGAGGGGAGCTTACACTTAACTTAATTCAGAACTTGACCAAGAGTGGCTCACCACTGCAGAAAATCATATCACAGGTGGTGGTAACATTGTGTTTGAGTCACAGATAAAATATTTCTGTATCAGTTGCATTTAAACTGACAAATTTAATAGAATTCTGCCTACAGGTACAAGCAATTGGTTATTTTGTTATATCCTTTGGGACTGTCCTGACTCAATATTTATAAACAGAAAGACATGTTATATAAATTCTTCCCTGTGCTTAATATTATAGTTATGGCATGTACTGGTTCTTTTAAAAATATGTGCTTATAAAAGCTGTATTATTTACTCCTTCCTTTTCAAGATAACAAAAGGAACTTTACAAGATAATTGTCAGAAAAGGGAGCACTGGGTTTGATATGGTCGAGAAGCACAGGATTAAAGTGAGAAAATCAGGGATGGCCTCAGTACAAACAGAAGATCTGTGGACTCCAGAAGGGCTGTGTGAGGCCTAAGGTTTCCTGGCCCCTCCACACAGGCCTCAGACTCCATTTCCTGGGCCCCAAGAGCTGTCTGGCCCCAGCGGGGTAGAGTGCTGATGGCCCAAGGAGCCTCACAGAAACCCCAGAGCGCACAAGCAAGGGTGTAAGGGTCCCTCACAGGGAGCCTGGGGACCAACAAAGCAGACTCTTGCTGAGTGGCTTCTGGGCAGCTCTTCTGGGTTGACTGGGAGGACCCTTAGAGGATCTCAGTGAAGGCCAAGAGGGACTGGAATTTGGACTTCACTGTGGAACTGAGCTCTTTTGCACCACAAACAAGAGAGGCCTGGGGTTGTCAGCTACTCCCACCATGGATATTCTCCATCTTGACCAAAAAATACCCTCTGTCCCCCTGTGGAGGACTGCCTGCCTCTCATACAGTCTCACACGGAACACAAAGCCTAAAAGCAAAGCTTTAAAACATTGTTTCTCTGTATGCTAACTTGTGATGTCAAGTCTCCTTCACCGGTACTGAGAGGAAGCAGGAGCAGACCGACTTAGGAGGAGAGGTGTGGGTTTAGGTGGGACTGTGAGGAAGCCATCGCTAGAGAGGGTGGTGAAACTTTGGGTCTATGGAAGGTAAGGAAAGAGGGTTTGCTTTCTGCTACGGTGTAAGTGCTTCTCTTTAGGGTTGTGAGCGAGTGGGCTGATGATAGATCCAAAACCCAGCTGAGCTTGGATGATTTAGAGCTTCGCTGATGGGAAAGCTGCCGGTTTTGAAATGTCACCATGTCAGCTGGAGGAAAAAAAAGAAAGGAAGAAAAAAAGCAGAGCTCATTCTTCAGCAAGAAGCACAACTGGTAGGTTCTGGAACAGAGGGCTCGTAAGTGAATGTGGGTAGGTAGGTGTTGGTATTGATATGATCACAAGTTAAGGGTATATTCCCCTGCATCCCTTTTTCTCCCTTCTTACCAGAATAATCTTCCACAGAGTGGGTGCTATACCATCTAAGTCTTGTAAGTCAGGACAGGACAGACCAGTGGTTCTCAAACTTGGGTGACCTCAGAATCACCTGGAGGTCTATTCAAGTCCAGATTACAGGCCCTTCCATGGGGCTTTGGATGCAGCAGGTCAGGTGGCCACCGAGAATCCACATTTCTAACATGTTCTCAGGTGAGGCTGATGCCCGCCACTGGTCTATGGACCATACTTTGAGAAGCACCTCTGGAGTTAAAAACCATCAGACCAGAATCTCTGGGTCCTGCTAAGTGGGTGAATAGCCTTGGGAAAGCCTCAAGAGCTCTTCTGGAGCTCCTTTTGCCAAGCTTTAAAATGAGAAAATATCATCAAATGTCTTTCTCCAAAGCGCTCGCTCCCTTGTCAAGGCATAGAGTAATCCCACAATTTGATAGCATGAGTGTGGAGTGAAAACAGAGAGGTGTTTGTTTGTGGCCAAACCCATGGAATGGTCCGGAACAGTGATGTGAGTTCGGGGAATCACTGCAGTCTGCCTTACACACCCGGGTTTGAGAGACACAGGCAGACGCAGTCAATGCTGTCCCCACATCCTGCACACCTAGAGCTTGGCCTCTCACTTACCCTGTTGTCTTCAGGAGTAGGAGGAAGAGGCTTTTTTGAAGCTGAAATGAGAAAAACAGAAAAAGAAAGTGAGCATGACACTCAGCCTTTCAGAGAAAAGGGGCCTAAGAAGAACAACAGAAGGAAAGGGGCTAGAAAGAGGTAGCAAGACACCGAGAAGCCAGAATTGGCCTTGGCAGAGACTGTCTTTTATGTCTTTTGGTTGCTGGTTTCCAATTCCTTTTTTCTAGGAGGCACTAGGAGCTTCCAGAAGTCAATATTATGGGATCTTCCCTTCTCTATTCCTGGAAAAAGCCTGACTGGGGAGGGAGGTGCTGCCTGGGCCCTTCCCTGCACTACAGAGATTTCTGTGAACCTAACCCCCACCCAAAGTGGGAATGGGTGACTCAGAGGATGGTGATTCACTGGTTTCCAGATGCTGAGAAGGAGGAGGCTGGCTGAGGTGGGAGGTCATTGTGCTGCTTTGGAGTGGGGTGGAATCGCTTCTAGTTGCCTTAAGGCATCTGACAGTGTGTTTTTGTTGCCTCCCCCAAACCACACACCCTTAATGTTTCTCTCTGCCTTTTTCTTTCTATGTTCTCTTGTGTGTCCATACCTCCCTTTCCTTACCTCTCCTCTCTCCTTTTCTTTCTCTCTTTATCTCTGCCACCTTTCATCTTTTCATCTCCATCTTTCACTATTTCTCCTTTGTGGCACTGCCAAGGTCAGGACTGGGATCAATGGACCACAGCTGTGTGTATGTCCAGGAGTGTGTGTGAGCATGTGAGGAGGTGCTATATAGGCTTCAGCTCAGAACAAGGATCTCTTTAATAATTAGAGATAAGCAGGAAGTGGGCTCCATAGGTTGGTGTGAGGCCTTCATCTGTACATGAAGTGGACCTGAAGGTGGACAGCCCACATCAGGAATATGGCAGAGGAGAGTCACATCTTGAAGCTGGAGTCCAGCCCTGTGCTGCCTCCTTAAGCGAGGGCAGGCTAGAGTGTTAATTTGGGTACACAGTTAATATACAAGGAGGAAATCCCACACAATTAGAAGCATGATTCCTATATAGCACTCAGACCAGAACCAGGAAACTGGTGTCCTAGCCCCGAGGTCCAGCATGATGAGCTCTATGACCCTGGGATCCTTCCAGCCTTGGACATCCTGTGACTGATCTCTTTCTTCTTCCTGTGGCCTTGGTCTTTCATCTTCCCTTCCTTCTTCCCCCTCTGTGTGACACTGATATGATATGATATGATATGATATGATATGATATGATTAGGGCTGGTTAGTTGCAGAAGTGAGTGTAACTATGAGCTGGTGTTGTAGGTTCGATTTCCACTCAACTACTCCTGCTTCTTCCCAGGTACGCACACATATGGCTATATCTCACCCTTGGATTCTTTCATCTACAAATCAGAAAGAACAGTGGACACAGTGACCATTTATCCAGAACTCAAATGCCAGCAGCAGTGTTAAGAGCATTTTGAGACCCCAATGACTCTCCCAACAACCACGCAAGATAGCTACCTATTATCATTGTCCCCATTTACAGATAAAGAAATTGCCTCAGAGGCTCAGAACAGTTAAGAAACACATATAAAGTCACACAGCAATGAAATGATGTGGCTAGGACTCACCCCAGATGTTTCTTTATACCCCAAAGCCCTGGACTGATCAGCCCTGCACTGTCCATGTGCCCAACACCAAGAATTTATGAGCCTTCACCTTAGGTATAGGACCATGTGGTATATTCACAGCACAATATGCTTCTTAAAAACTGCTCCCCATTCTGTCAAAACTATGGTCGGTGAGGTTGTTTATTTAAGTCAGAAAAGGTGGTGTAAGTGATGCTAAGTGTGAGTGTGGTGGGGGCGGGCAATGTGTTGCAATGCAAAAGCAACACCATTAGCAGAGTGGCACACTTGTGGGGGTGGCTGAGAGCTGTTAGCCCTTGGGTTCATGTGAGGAGAGGCTTGCTGTGACCAAGGGTAGTTGTGGTGAGTCATTCACAACTAACACCTGCTAACACCTGTTGTCCCGTGGGCAGGACTCTGTTGGGGGAAGGTCTGTGTACACTGCAGAGGAAAAGCTGCAACATCACTGTGCAAACTGCAAACTGTAAACTCAGGCTCACAGAATGTCAGACTTGGAAGGGGGTGTAGATATTATTTCATCGTAGGTCACTAAGACCTCCCTACCATTTTAGAGATGAGGACATTAGGGGTCTCCATGGCTAAGTGACTCCTCAAAGCGCCCATAGCAGGTGCTGGCAGGAATGTGGAGAGTAGATCTCTAGTTTTGCAGAGGCAAGCCCATGCCATCCTGCTAGCATAGATACCAAGCCTTCCATTTCTTTCCCACAAAATACAGCCTCTCGTGAGTAGGGGCAACAGCATTACAGTGCAGCTCACTAATGTCTCAGGCTTGGTAAATGTTACTCTCCCGGGCCAATGAGCTGATACTCTTAAAGGACTTTTTTCCTCAAGGTGCAAGGTGACAAGTAGTGGTTTTTAAAGTGCTACTGGGAGGGGTTGTGACTCAGGAAGCCATGGAAAACCCAGTCATGTGTGACATCCACCTTAGGTTGTCCATCTAATATATGTAAGCTTAGGGCAAAAAAAAAAATTGACAGATGAGAAAGAAAGGGTAATTGTGGTAGAAAAGGTTGTGAGGAGAGGAAAATGGAGCATGGGCCATCATTCCTCTTCTATAATAGTTCTGCAGCTGTACAGTCCTGCGCATACTAAATTGTTCAGGCCAGCCATGTCTTTAACATCACACCATCTACTCCAGAGGGCTGTGAGAAACAAGATATTGAACATGTGAAAGTGCATTAGACAGGAAGGTTGAAGTTCCAAAGTTGACACTTAAGGCAAAATCAAGTTGCACTCCAATCACCAGGTCCTGAGCCTTTATGTCAAAGGCCAAGAAACAACTTCCATTGTTTTCATTTTACACTTAGACTGCTGACTCCTTTTCTCTGAGATTGAGTAGGTCAAGGGCAAGTTTGGAGAGGGAGGAAGAAGCCACAGAGTAAAATAAGGGTTTTTTTTCTCTCTTCTTTCCCAAGTTGAATTTGTGTAATTAAACGTGTGTGTCATGATGTCATTGTAGCAAATAAGTGAATATTATTCTGCACTTCTTAAGACTGTGTCTATAATTTAAGATTTAAGCAGACCACGCCACTCAAATTTCCTAACAGGAGATGATAGCAGTGCTTCTCAAAGTTTACTATACACATGAATCTCCCAGGATCTCATTAAAATGCACATTCTGATCCAATAGATCTGGGCTGGAACCAGAGGATTTGCATTTCTAACTGGCTCCTAGGGTTCGGGGATCCAGGTGGTCTGAGGACCACACTTTGAGTAGCCAGAGATGTAAGAGATTAGCTTTGAGGTGAAAAGGCATGAACAGGCTGGTGGGAAACAGAGAGGAGGCTTTTCCTCTGACAATGTAGGATTTCACATTCAATCCATGACACCCTCAATGACGGGACGCTGACAACTTTTCATCTGTACAGTGCTTTTACGAAGACGAAAGGGGTTTCCCAGTCTTACCGTTCTTGGTCGGATCATAATGAGCACACCCTACTGCAAGCTTCTCCATCTGAGAACAGCACCTCCACTTCCCATCCATCCAGAAATTAGGGTGATACTTGGACACCAGACTGTTATTATCCCTTGTTTCTGAAAGCGGTTGACACCGGCAGAAGAGTTATTTCCAGGTCAGTCTATGAAGGGCCACCAATTCTAAGACTCCCTGAGATTGGACCCCACTGTGTGGCTTGAGAGAACATCACCCAGAGTAGTCAGAAAAATGGCCAGCAAATTCACTGTGCTATTTACTGAGGGAGGTGTGTTAGATTTAACCATCAGCAGACCTGGGTTCTTCTCTGGCTACGCCTCCAGGTGGGTGTGTGCCCTTGGGCTGGGTGAACCTTTGTCTTGAGGCTCCCTTTCTCCCCACTAAGCAATGAGATTGGTAAATTCATTGTTAGATCAGTGGTCCCAATGGCCATGTGTTAGTAGTAATAGGAAGACAGGATGGGCTTCCCATCTCCTCACTGCCTGCATCTTCAACAACAGCAACTTTGCTTTTCTTCCTTAGAGATGTGTGGCTCTGAGGTAAGATTTTTGTTGGAAAAAAAGGGATTCTATTACTGAAAAAAAAAGTGTAAAACCCACAGAACTACACAGTTCATTTCCAGCGCTCCTTCCGACTTCAGCATCCTATGTGTAAAACCCCTTCACCCGGGGAGGCTGGCCAGTGGACATAGTGGGGCCATTCATGTGACTGTTGGATAGGAGAGCACTTTCCAGTTTACCCGCACAACAACCTTGGAAGTACGTAGAATTGTATTGCCATTTTTCAGACTTGCTTATCCTTAGTTCTCATAGCTACCTATAGACAGATTACTATCTGAGCCCAGACTTGGTGATACCTGGGATGTTTCTGACTGAAGAATAAAAATATAATGATCAGGAATATTGACCAAGTGCTATGTTGGGGATAAGTATTGTTCTAAGAACCTTACATGTCCTAACTCATTTCATTCTCACAATGACCCTATGAATTAATAGTAAAAATTTATGGCTGAGGAAATGGAGAGACACAAAGGTCAAGGGTCTTGGCCAAGACCACACACTGGTAATTGGCAGAGCTGAAATTTTCACAGCCTGCTCTACATCCCATGGAGTTTGACACTGTGCTAGCTCTCATTACATCGTCAGGTTGGTGAGGCTTAAGAAATACCCTGACTGACTGTCTGAATGACTTTAAACCCTGCTAGTCTTTATTGGGTGCTGAATATGGGTCAAGATTTTCACTCACATCAACCCTGAAGACAGGTACTGTTATTCCTGCCACTCTCATTGTTTAGTACATGGGGAAACTGAAGCCCAGAGCAGTTAAGAACTGGCCCAAGAGCATGGAGTACATGGGAGAAGCAGGATTTAAACCCAAGTTATCCAAATCAAGGGCCTATACTCTTATTTTGTCACCATGCAAGAATTTGGTAAACTTTTTCTTAAACTTTTTCTTTTACTTAAAAGGCCAGATGGTAAACGTTTTAGGTTTTGCTAGCCAAGCTGAAAAATGAAGGATGTTATGTGCATGGTTGTATAACCCTTTAAAACGAACCACTTAGAATATTTTAGCTTGGAGCCTTACAAGAATAGGTGACAGGCTCGCTGTCCAATCTTGATTACATTGCTTGTTGCCCTGGTTGGGCCCAGGATAAAAGCTTGGGACCTTCATCAACCCTCAAAGGGAGAAATGTTGGCGATCAGGTGCTCTCAGGCCATACTCTATTATATCACGGAACCAGAGCCTGTCATGAGATCCAAGGTCTCAGTGAGTCAGTGGCACAGGAGTTGAGTTACCTTCTTTAAGGGCCAGCACCCAGCGCTGCCGGCTCTCTCGGTCTGGAGCAAACACATACAGGAGGTAGTTGTCGTGCACAACCTGGAGACACATACACACAGGGGCCCCGGTGAGTAGGGTGTCCAAAGATGGTAATGACAGCAGGCCCATCTGGTTTACAGGGCTGAGGATGGGGCTTCCAATGCATGTCATTATCTAAGCAAATCTGGATGATTAGGGACCTAGTGTCCTTTCCACCCAGATGTTTGTGCACTATGCAATTGGAGGATCAATCTCCACAGTTCGGGCTCTCATCAGAGATTCATGCCACAAATAAAGCAATTGCTAAGTTAAGACAGCAAGAGAAAGTTCTCTTCTTGCCTTGGTAGCACATTTATTTCTCTTAATTTTTCAGTGATTAAAAAATATTCTGCCAGCATGTTTAAGAGCAAGTTTGTTAGATGACAGATACATACTGAAGATTTGTAAAAGCTTTCTTGTTTTAAAATAGTTTAAGATTCACAAGTTCCAAAAATAGTACAGAGTTCCTGTATGCATCCACCCACCTTTCCCCACTGATAACATCTTACATAACGCCAGCAGTTTTTAAAGCAGGAAATTGACATTGGTACAATACTATCAACCAGACTACAGATCTTTGAATTTCACCAATTTTTTTCATGCACTCATTTGCAATTGGGATTTTTAACAACTGGAAACCAGTGTCAGTCCCTTCACTTTCAGTCCTAATAATTCCAACTCCAGGGGACCACTTTTCTAGTGGAAAGAATTCCTTTTTCTACCACATTAAAAATAGAATATTCAACCCTCAAGTTGGCAAGCAACAATGAGACACTGGAATGTGCTAGCAGATATCCATTCCTCTGGAGTCATAAATGTCAAGAGTGTAAGCCCGATAAAGACTCCAAAAGAACACCCTCCAGCACTGTCCAGTGGAACTTTCTGCAGTGACAAATAGTCTGTAATGTGTGCTGTCCAACACCAGCCCTATTAGCCATATATGACTACTGAACATGTGCGATGTGCCCAATGTGACCAGGGAGCTAAAATATTAGTACCACTGAATTTTAATTAATTTACAATTAAATGTAAACAACCGCATGTTGCTAGTAATTAAGGTTTTGGGCAGCACAACCATTTCCAGATTCTATTCACTCAGATTGTAAAAGCTGACACTTTTTCCCTTGGAGACACCAAGAAATTCATAACCCTGGTTTGCAATTTGTGGCCCCAAATCATGAGCAAACTGTACTTAAAGCACTCTAGGCTTTGGGTCATCAACAGAAACTTTTTTCCTTCCCCAAGGAACAGAGTAATTAGGATTTTCATTGAGGCAGGGAAGATACAAGAGAAAAGGAATGAAGAATAACAGCCTTTTCACAATTTTCTGCTTAGCCTTTGTGGAATAAGTGAATGAGTGAATATCACTGATTGGAAGAACAATGCAGAAATTTCCTTCTGGGCTTGGTCTAAGTTCTAAGCCTGGACCAGAGACATTCCATTCCCACTTTCTCTCACAATGACTTAGGATTTTAACCATGGCCCAGGGAATGCGAAACTATCCACTTCAGGCCTGATGGACTTACCTGAAATGGGTATTTATAGTGGCATGGGATGCAAATGTCACTTTTCACAATCTCCACACATTTGATTCGGGAGAGTTCAATGGAGCCCTTCAAAGTGCGCTTTTTCTGTGAGAAGATAAGAACATCCCATTTAAGTAAGAGAGAAGATGACATTTTTGTGAAAGCTGCTTCTAGAAATCTGCTACTAGAAAAGTTCCATTAGCATGGTAAACCAACTGCCTCTTGGCCTTCTATCTGCGAAAGACTTTGAGCAGACTCATGGGAGAATGTGTCTTCTGAATCTTTTCTTGATGAGGTGACTAATATCTATTCATTGAGCCATGGTATCACACACTACACTGCCTTGGTGATGAATGGCAGTATTTGCAGAACTCATCACTGGGATGGACAGTACAATCTATGGAGAATGAACCACACACGTGCCAACCCATGACTTTTTAGAATAGTAAGTGAGCTCAGGCCTCACCTGGGTAGTGATGTATTATGCTAGCGATAGCTTTGTTTTCTACATTTGGCTTCTCCCTGTTCCTTAGTTATTTACAGTCCCACAATGTCACCTCTGCAGGATATTCCTGTCTGTGCACTGTAATTATTTCTTTTCTACTCCTTTCCCCACTCATCAAATCTCACTGGGCCTATGTCTCCTTCCCTTGCAGATGTAGATTCTTGGTAATGAATTCACCCATATGATAGCTTGTGATGTATACTGATGTTACATGTAACTCATTTCTAAAGGGCTTCATGCTTGGAGAAGGGGACAGTATGCCTCATTCAATGGAACAGATTCTATTGCTGGACTGTTGGCTCCAAGGAAGGAAAGTGCTTTTGGAGAGCAGAAGTCTTTCCTAGGTACCTAGAATTAGGCTTCCAATTTTAGTATATGTGCTGCCGAAGCGAGCACAGAATTAGGCTTCCATTGAAAATTGTTTCATTCAGCTATGGAACCAGTTGCAAGACATGTCCCTAAAACTTACCCTTCCTAACAGGGTAGCAAACACTGGGGAAATGAGCACAACGTGGGAAAAGTGAGGCTTGAAGTTGCCCTCTGCCTCTCTCCAGCTCTGTGATGTTGGGCAACTCTTCTAACTCTCCAGGACCTTGGACCCCACATCTTAAAAGGATAAAAACACTTACTTTTAAAGGGCTGACTGGAGAATAAAACAGGACAAGGTAAACAAAGTACCGGGGTCATAATAAGTACCTTCAATAAAGGGCACCTTCTTGAATGAAGAAATGAAGAGAGTCCTAACTATTGCATGGGAGTCATGATTTACAAGTGTGCTTGGCCAGTCTTAGGAACCATGACATCCCCAGTATCTCCAGAAGTGACCTACATCTTCACTTCTTGATTTTGATTCCAGCCTGGAAGCTGATAGTTGAAGTACAGAACTGAGATGAACAAATTCATGATGTGAGTAGGCCCTATCAAACACAGGGAAATTCTGCGGTATTCCTTTCTAAATTTTCATTATAAAAGTTATTTTGTTCATTTGTGAAACACACCCATGTTTAGACAAAAAAAAATAATATGGAGACTCATGAAAAAGATAATTACATCACATTATTATCCCACCCTTTTTCAACCCTGACACAGCCAAGGTTAACTGTTTGGGATAGATTGATCATTCCCTTGCACATTTATAGAGTATATTTCAACACAAATGAGCACTTGTCCTACATATTGGTCTAGAAGTTGCCTTTGTAATCTACTCAAGTCTTAGGAGGTCTGTCTTCCTATAAAAACCTCTGGAAACATGTGCCCTTTTGACTCAAACTATCTCCTCCTTTAGGTCTTCCACAGCTAGAAATACATGCCCTGGGGCTGCCCATAATCATAGTTCTCAGGAATGTCTAATCTGTTTTTCAAAACAGAAGAGCACAAAGAAACCACCCCTTGCACAACCATCTGCAGCTCCTGATAAACAGAGAGCCTGAGCTTTGAGGTTACCTTGCTTCTATTGCTGTGAGGTTATTTCCCAAGTATAGATGATGAAATGAAATAGAAGCTCAAGGCCATAACGTGACAGCTCTGCTGACACTTTTGTCTTTGAAAACCACTAACTTTACAGCTTCGCAAGGGCAGAAACAAGGGCATCTGTGACATTGCCCTGGTGCCCTCCACCATAGCTGGTCCTCAGTGCTGCTTAGGGAGAGAGGAACAGAGTCCACCAGGCAGGAGCACATTTTAAACAACTTTAATCGGGTTTAAGCCTAAGGCATCTAACTGCTCAAAAAGATTGATTGAGGGCCAGCTATGAATAAGATGCTGTTCTGAGTTCAGGGAGTGGAGCAAAGAGGCTCACATTGTATATATGGTCCCCGTCTAATGTTTCTACTCAGGGTTTTTTGTCTTTACAGTGCCACAAAAGCAATCAGTCGAAACTGTACTTCAATTTTTGAATTTTAATCTTTTTCCTAGGCTGGCAATATATACTTTCATACTCTCTTGAGATGCTGCCCAGCCGTGCAAGCTGCAGTACTGGCTGGCCACGTGGTCGTGAGGGAACAGACCTGGTACTCTGCAGTGTGCTGTGCTGTTAATGTGAGGCATATTAAATGCATTTTTGATTTATAATTCTTTCAACATCGGACGGATTTATCAGGATGTGACCCCATTATAAGTTTGGGAAGGCAGAAAGGACAAATAGGTGGAATAGAGAGAAAGGAACAACTTGTCATTAGGGCAGGCCTCTGGAGAGGATGCTTGAGAAGAAATCAGATAGCCAGATAGGAACCATCTGCCAGCAGGTGTAGGGGAGAGGGCATCCTTGGTAGAGAAAACAGCAGGAGCAAAACCCCTGGGCAGAAAGGCACTAGGTAAGAATCTCATTGCAATCAGGCCATAAAATGGAGGTAAATATAAACTGGAATCAAGAATTGGGATAAAAATTCTATGTGAAGTAGAAATAAAATGTGAGCCATACATTAATTAAAAAATTTCCAGCAGGTACATTAAAAAACAATAAGTAAAATAAATTTGGCAATTATGTCATTCAAACCAATACTGTATATCTAAAATGCTATCATTTTCAACCCTAAGCAACATAGAAAATGTGATATATTTCTTGTTAGCACTGTCTTTGAAATCATGCTTTCTAACACATCTCAGCTTGGTCTGGCCTTGTTTTAAGTGCTCAGTAGTCACACAATTTTCAAGGACGTGTTCCCCTCTTAACTCAGATGATCTTTGATTTTTTTTTTTAGCTTTAATAAAATTTAATTTTAGTAGTATTTAATCTGATTTATCCAAATATTTCACATTTCAATAACTGCATGTAGACATTACAGTTCTAGAGCATGGATTTTAAGCAAACCAAAATATTCAGGAATAAAAGCAGATTCTTTAGATTCTCTCCCTACATCCACTGTGAAAAAGCAAGAGATAATCTTGTAACAATGTTCCCGCATATGGAGTGATGTAGATGGTCTCCTAAATCTTCCAGGGCTCACCATGGCTAATCTGTTAGACTCAAACATTTCCTTCTAGAAGACACTTGTCTTCCCCCCTCACTTACTTTTCTCTCTGATTTCTTCCCTGATATCCCGAGTTCAAAGCCCAATTCCAATCTCATATCCCAAAGCCCCTGATCAGTCACTTCTCTTCAAATGTAGCTCTTTATTTAGAACAGTTAACCTCACCCTAGGCTAGGCACAAAGAGAAAACAAGAACTGGGGTCCAGTGTCAGAGACCAGAGGAGAACCGAGGCCTAATTAGCCTCCTCTGAGCACAAAGGCGAAAGGCTGCACTCAGGGGTGTTTGGATATCTCAGGTTCTAGGGAAAGCTAAAGACAGCTGAGGCTGTTTTCCAGAGTATGCACTAAGGGATACTGGAAAACAGATGAATCTTGTGTTACTTTGTTGCTTGTGGCCCGTGTTTGGGTGAATAAAAGTGAGATGAACCATAGAGAGGAGTTCCTCTGCCTAAGAGGCAAGAGTTCCCTGGCTGTCTGCACGCCCTTGTCATTCATCCTGGTTTTCATCCTCGTTTGCCCTCCACCTGGTCAGGAAGAACACAGTAATGGTTCTCCCAGAACAAGGTCAGCCATGGGAGGATCAGCTACAGGTGGCTCCCCAGCGTGAGGCTTGGTACTTGGCTGGGGTATAGTTGGTGCCTGAACAAGGACTCGGGACCAGGCTCTCCTACAGTCCAACTAACCTCACTAAATTTGAATGGCTGGGTCCTGGCCAACCCTACCTGTGGTGGTTTTCAGCAGCAGCAGTGATATCAATAAGACTAATTTAGCACACATTTTCTCTGTGCAAGAATTATGCTGTGTTACATGCTTTGTTTCACTTGATTTTTATTAAAACATTGTAGAGTTAAAACTATTACCCCTTGGCTCCTATTCTACATGTGGAAGAGGCAGGTTTACAATTTGACCATGGTTGCACATCTACTAAGTAACAGAACTGGGATTTTAAATAGGTGTGTGTGTGCGCGCGCGCGTGCGTGTGTGTGTGTGTGTGTGTTACTGGGGATTGAACCTAGGGCCTTCTTCACACAGAGCTATATCCCTGGCATTTTAAAAAATGTTTTTATTTTGAGAAAGGATCTCCCTAAGTTGGGATCTTCTTGCCTCATCATCCCAGAGTGCTGAAACTATAGGAATGTGCCACAATACCCACTTCATTATACAGTGGGCCCTCAAGTTACCACCAGCCTGACATACGAACAACTTGGGTTAATTAGGTTAATGGAAGATCCACCTGCCTCTTGTTATCTATAATGTGTATCCAGGTAAACATCCAGATCTCAGCTGTATTGACTTAGAACCACCAGCCCTCCCTCGGGAACTGATGGAGTCCGTAAATCCAGGTTCCACTGTACATTCTTGGCACATTTCTGTCCACAATCACAAATGTAAGAGGTTTCACAATAGACCGTTAATGTCTCCAAATGGTGAAGTTAAGAAAGTAGCTAGCAAAAATACCTTTAAGATCCTTCAAAAAGCCTGCTTGATGTAACAACATGAGCACCATATTCCCCGCTTAGGGATTCTCTCCCATCTCCAAAGAAAAGGAAATTCAGCTGGGGGCAATGGTACACACCTGTAATCCTAGCTACTGAAGAGGGTGAGGCAGGGGGATTCCAATTTCAAGGGCA